GGGCTCCCAACAAGGGGTCCAGAGCTCCCCCCCCCGCCCCGCCCCACTCCTGAATTAGCAACTACACCCAAGGGCAGCAAGCTGCTAGAGGCACGTGGGACCTGGGACTTCAGAGGGTTCGCTGCAGCCCCTCTGGGAAGGCCCTCCCCTCCCCCCACCCTTCCCCTGGGTCCGGGGGACCCAGTGGCTGCCCCAAGAGCCACTGCAGCAAGTCCTGCCCAAAGCCCCACTGCACCAAGACGGGATGGGGAGGCCTGGAGAGCCAGGCAGGGCAGAGCCTGCGAGTGGGAAGACAGCCCAGAGCCAGGGTGGGGGGCGCCGCCTGAAGCCTGTGAGTGCGCGCACACCCGCACCCGCACCCGCGAGTAACCAGCCCGTGCGTACGTACCTTGGGGGAGCGGAGCAGCCCCTCGCTGTTGGACGCGGCGGCCGTGGGGGGCTCAGTGCGCTGGCTGGGCTGCCGTGGCCTCTTGGGCTCCCGCCGCGCCCCGACGGCCCCAAGGAGCGTGACCTGCAGCCAGAGGACCGTGGCGGCGGCCCAAGCCCAGCGCATGGCGCCCAGCGGCTCCAGACCTTGGTGGTGGCTCAGCGCGGCGAGCGGGGACTCCCAGGTGTGTTCATGGGGGCGGCAGTGCAGCCAGCACTCAGGGCCCCCGGGGGGAGACACAGCCCCAGGGGGCGCCTAGCCGCCCCCCGTGCATGCGCAGGCAGGGCAAGCCTGGAGCAGCGGCTCGACGGGCACCACGACCGGCAGGCAACACAAGGGACCCGGCAGAGGCAGACGCGCTCCTGGGATCCCGCGCGCTGGGGCCAGCGCCGGCCTCCCCTCACACGCAGTGCCCGGGCTGCCCGTGCACGCCGCCAAATAAGCCCTCCCCTCCTCCCCAAAACTGCAAGGGGGAGGGCTCACACTCTGCTGGTCTGCCAGCCAACACAGGGCTCCCCCGCCAGCCCGGGGGCGTGGACGGGGGCGTTAGGCTGCTGCAAGGGGCTGCACCTCCCCCGGGCGCTCCCTGCCTTTGGAAACAGCCCCCACCCTTCTCCAGGAGGGCCAGCTCACCCTGGAAACTAACACGAATTCACTCCACCCGCCTCCCAGCTAAGCTCCTGGCACCTCACACCCAGCCCCTTCAGGGTGGTGGCCCAGGAGGTCCCAGGGTAGGGACAAACTCCATCAGGACGGACAGCCCCATCTGCCCTTCCTACATAAGACCCACCTCACTCAGCCCCTCCGGATCCTTCCAGCCCTACCACAGGCCCCCTCCAGGCCCTCTGACAGAGGTCCCCAGACCCCAGGGTCCCAGTGATGCCCGGAAGCCTGGCTCAGACCCTACTCCTTAGAAAGGCAGGACCTAGGAAGGACAGCTGACCTACCAGGCTCGCAGCCTTGTCCTGGCCTAGGTGACCCTGGGCACTGGCCCTCCACTGGGGGGTGAGCATGGCTAGCAAGGGGAGGGACTACTGACTGACTTCAGAGAAAGGCATGGTGGGTGACCTGGCTGAGGCTGCCCGAGTCCCTCTACCCCCTCCTCTTCTCGGGGCACAAGGCCAACCCTTACAGCCTGAGGGGGTGCCCTCACCCAACCAGGCCTCTTGGCTCCCTGCTGTCCTGAGCCAGCAGGGGAAAGGGACGTGAGTCCCCAGGCCCTTGCAATCCGGCGTTCAGCACGACGGTGAGCCCTGCCAGAGGAGCCTGCTTCCTCCACAGCTGTCCAGCCCAAGGAGAGGGAGCACAAGATGTCCCCCCAGCTGGACCTGAAAACCAGTGGGTGGGTCCCCAGGGAGACTTAGGGCCCTTCCTTAACCACCTGCCCACTGCAGGCAACAGGATGACCGGGGCCAGCTCAAGCCAACAAAACCTTGCAGAGTCAGTCGCCACGGAACGGGGGCCCGGGGGGGCTGACCGCTGCCCCTCAGTGGACCGGGACTAGGAACGGTCAGAGCCGTGGCTAGGCCCCAGAGGAGCTGCCGCTCGCAGTCCGGTCTAGAGGAAGCAGGGCACGCTGGTCCCAGTGGACAGCATAGGAGTCCCCCTCCCGGCACTCCTCAACTTCCAGACGTCCACTAGGGACGGTGAAGGCAGACCCCAGCCCCAGGCCATGTCCATGGCCACTACAGGCAGAGCTGCCCCGGAAACCAGCCTGGTGGGGAAGATGTGAGGAGAGTGAGCCTGGGGTCATCCATCCCCCTCCTGGTTCAGGCAGAGGTGGTCTGGTCCAGGGACAACAGTGGGCGGTTATGGCGAAGTCCAAGGTCGCTGCTGGAGCCTCAGCTCTTCTGGGTGTCCAGCTGGTGAGCCGGCTCCCAATGCCTGGGTCTTGAAGGGGGCCACGCTGCAGAAGATCCCCTTGTGCTCTGCCCGGCTGGAACCCTGGATGTGACCCGCACCCAACACCAGGTCAGGAAGGTAGCCCAGGAGACTCCACTGAGCTGCTAGACCCCTCCTGGGGTGCCCAGGAGGCTGGGCACCTGATGGCCCAATCCGTCAGGGCTTCAGTGTGTCCGCAGAGTGCCGGGGGCAATGCACCATCTCCAACTGGCTGCTGTGTGGGCACCGCCAACCGGCCAGCCTCCAGCACAGTCCTACAGGCAGGTCGACCTACAGCAGACCACCTCTGACGCTGGATGGGGGAGCCACACGGCAGTGGGCCTCAAACAGGCCCAGCCATGGCTGAACCATGGGTTCTGCTCCCATCCCCAGGCACCTCGACAATCAGCAGGAAGCGGGAGCCACTTCGCTGGCCCAACGGTTCACGAGTCTCAGCCGAGCTGTGCTCTACAGGGGGACGTGGCCCCCTTGGGCTCGGGTCCAGTGTCAGGAAGCAGCTCTTTGCTCTTCAGTGCCCCCTCCCCCTCTCCCCTGCATCCCATGGTTCCTCCCGGCGGCCCGGCTCCCACCGGGCGCACAGGAGCTGCCTGGAAAACCACCAGAGACCCTGCTCCCCAGTCCTCCACGCCCTACTGCCACGGACACCTAGTGCCCCTGGAGGGGAGGTCCAGGCCAGCGGCCACTTCTCTGTACCCACACAGCCACAACCCAGACACTGGGCATCGTCCCCACAGCCATCTGCCCCCCGACGCCCTCAGCACACCGAGGGTCGCTCCAGCCTCAGACCCAGACCCAGACCCCTCGGCTGCATTTGCAGTTTCGAGTCTCAGACTCGGGCCTGGGGAAGCTTCTTGGGGGAGAGATGCTGGGAACGCCCTTTGCAAGACCACTCTCCACACCTCTAGGACCCCTTCACCTGTGTCCATGCAGCCTGAGTTTGGTCAGGGGCTTTCTCCCTGAATTAAGAGACTCCAAACACAGCTTACACTCAGCGGTTCAGCTGGGACAACTACTGGGGACGCCCAACTGCCCTCCACCAGGGACTCCACACAAGAGGGAGGGGCCGGTGACCCCTCCAAGGGAGAGCAACATGGACACGGGGTCAGACGTGCAGACCCACAGGACAAGTTCATCTTTTTTTTTTAAGCAATTTCTACACCCAACATGGGGCTCAAACTCACGACCACGAGATCAAGGGTCACCTGCTCTTCCAAATGGGCCAGCCAGGCGTCCCAAGGTCATCTTTTACCTTGGGTCACTGCAGACAGCTTGCCGCCTTGGACACTGGGTGAAGGCTCTGTACAGCACGGATCTATTTCTACCACTGACAAAGGGTTTTTAATAGTTGAGATTTCACATATGGGGTGGAAATAACCCACGTTAAGTAAAATATTTGCTATGTAATCTGCCTCCTCAAAACCTCAGGAAACACTAAGTGTTTGGATCAGATCCGGCCATGGACAGAGGGTAAGGCCCGGCATCCAGCACAGCAGAGGAGGCCCGGCGAAGCCTGCCCCTGCCTACCACTGCACGCAGGGGTCCAGGCCCAGCGGTGTGGCGCTGCTGCCAGGGCCCATGGCTAGTCACGGGGTGCCACCACACTGCACACACAGTAGCTCCAGCCCCCCCACAGGCCAAGCCACTGGCCTGCCCGTGGGCGAGCCTGGCAATAGGCTGAGATGGACTTGCATTTCCACCAAGAGACTCAAACAGCACAACATTTAGGAACAAAGATATAATGAAAGATTTTTTTCACAAGAATGGGTTAAATACACACATAAGTGGTAAATTATAGAGCAATTTTAAATAAACCGATCAAAAACCAAAGAATGTTGAAGATGTACAAGTGCATGGCTGCACTTGAGGCCGCTGTGGCCCCTGGAGTGAGATCACAGCCCCTCAGCCTGGGACCCACAGACACAGTGCTTTCAAACGACGTGCAAGTGAAATCATCAAACAGGCGCTTGATGGAAGACGTCAGCAGCCAGGGGGCCATCTCCACCCCACCGGCCCTGCCCTTCCTGGGCAGCCTTCACTTCCCGTGATGCCCAGTCCATGTGTGATCTTCCAGGGCAGAGCCCAGACCAGACATGGATCAGCTGCGAAAAGGAACATGTGAGCCTATCTTTAGGGTAAAGCAAAGATCTGGACCAAGTGTGAGGAGAGCCCCACAGTGCACAGAACCTGCCTGTCAGGCGCAGATCCGCGGGGGGCCGCTAGGGTCAGAGGAAATGTCCTGTGGGCACCAGGGGCCACCTCCTGCAGCATCCGGGAACCTGGAGGTGGCAGTGGGGGGCCCAGCCTGGCACAGGTGTGGAGGCAAGGAGGTGAGGGGATAAACTGGAAGCAGCCTTAGGGACCGCACAGGGCATGGTGGCTCAAGTAAAGGGTGCCACCTTGTGGTCAGACAGCAAGCAGCTGCTGAATTTCAACTTCAGCAAAACAAAGAACCCCCTTTCCTACGAGACTGCTTCTTTCCAAGTGAACAAAACACATTTCAAATGCTGAGGCCAAGCCCCACGTCTCCTGGACCCCGTCTGTGGCTGTCCTTGGCCAGCCCCCGGGCCCCACAGCCAGGCCCCCTGCCCCTGCCAGCCGGGCGCAGCTGTGGAAACTCCCCCTGCCTGCTGAGCCAGGGCTCCACTGGACTAAGAATGCACGCAGAGTATTCGATAATCGAGTTTTGTATTTTTAAGTGACCAAATCTAATAAAATGAAAAACAGGTTTACTAAAACAGGTCCAAAAGACGATACAGGAGATAAGCTATAAAACCAAAGCGTGAGGCCCCTCCTCCTCGACACCCAAGCTCCACGGTCCCCAACGACCCCAGAGCGAGGACAGGGAGCTGAGAATCTTGCATCTCCTCTAAATCCAAATTACACACTTTGGTTTTTGTTTTCCTTTTCAAGGTTTTTAAAAAGCTAACCCCAGGAGTCAGGCAGGTCCACCCTGCACTCGGCGGCATGTCCAGCCAGCCCATGGCAAGCTCGGGCCCAGTGTCCCTCGTTTTTGACCACTTCTGCCGGCCGTGGCATGTGGCTCACTCCTGCGCTATGCTTCTCAGCACGTACTTGACCGTGTAGGCAAAAGCCGCAAACCCAACTATAACAAACAAGTTCGCCAAGGCACCGCCCAGGAGTCCATGGTGCCGGTTGACCTGCTGGAGCCCTGCGAGGTGTGGCCCAGCCCCTGGCGCATGCCCATTGAGGAGCTGAAGCCCGTTCTGACCATGGTGTGTTTCCCCATCTGGAACCACATCTGGTAAGGGGAGAGCCTGTGGTCGGCTACTGAGTTCGTCTTGGGCTTTCTGTTTTTGTTTAATTTCCTAAGATAAAAACAAAAAGAAACAAGGGTTGGTCTAAACAAACGAGTTCCTTTAAGACTAGGGAGAGTTCTAAGATCCACCACAAAGACTTGTGGGGCCAGCAGTCGCCAGCCCCATGTATTCAATCCTGATACCCACCCTTGGAGGTGGGGGCTGCTGCTAACCCTGTCTTACAGATGAGGGGGCCCAGGGACTTGTCAAAATCACCAAGCCTGCACCCCTCAGGGCCTAGACCGAGCAGGTCCAAGTGACAAGGAATCACCGTGGCCTCAACCTTAGTGCAGCTCACCCTGCCCCTCCTGGCCAAGGGCCCTCCCTGCAGCTCAGCAGCCCACCTGAGGAGCTCCACGCCCTGACGTCCAGTTCCCTTTCGCTGGCCTCTCCAGCTCCAACCCCAGCATCCAAGCCCCCCCGACTCTGGGCACCTGAAGGAGAGGGGCGGGGCTGCGCCTGCCAGTTAGCTCCTGCAGGTGCTCATGGGCACAGGTGCCCTCTGTGCTGTGTGTCTGCAGCACAGGGACACAGAGCAGCACCGTCTTCTCTTTGGAAGATTCGGATGTGCAAGGGGGGAGAACTGACTGGCAGCGTCTGTTCCTTACCTCCACAACTTCAGGGAATAATTCACCAAAGACTTTGTCTTTCAAATTAAATGCTAAACTTTGTGCAGCCAGTTGTCTTTTCTAGGAAGAAAGAGAAGGGAAATAATCAGCCCGAAGATAAACTTCAATTCTTTCAAATTCTAGACTATTTTATCCTCAAAAACTGTCTTCACATTTTTGAAAACACTCAATAAACTCACTCTTCACAACAAACTAATTTATTTATTTTTTTTAAAGATTTATTTATTTATTCCTGAGCGACAGAGGGGGAGAGAGAGGGGGAGAGAGAGAGAAGCAGAGGGAGAAGCAGGCTCCCAAGGAGCAGGGAGCCCGATGCGGGACTCGATCCCAGGACCCCGGGATCATGACCCGAGCCGAAGGCAGACGCTTAACCATCTGAGCCACCCAGGCGCCCCACAACAAACTAATTTAGTCTTATCAAGACTTATTTATCTTTTCATTATCATCAATTAGTAACATTAAACTTGATTCCTACTTAAACAATAGAAAAATAAAACCACTGGTGTTGCCCACCCCTCCCAAGACCCCTGAGGAAGCTCGGCCTGTTCTTCCCCCCTGCTGATGAGAATAAGGAACCCCAGAGCAGCGAGTGTTCCTGGGGAGCAAGGACATGAGCAGGAGCCCCCCGACATGCAACCATGCTCTCCGGCCCTCACCGTGAAGTCCGACGTCTCTATGCTGCCCAGGGTGGGGCCCTTCTCCACCATGAAGCTAAGGAGCCCCGTCAGGATGGTGGAGACAGACCAGGCCGGGTTCCACGTGTCTGGGTGGAAATCCGTGATGGAAAGACACAGCCTGCAAAACAGGGACCCACTCAAGAGAGCTCACCCCAAATCCCGACCCCACCCAACACCTGAGAAGCAGAAATGCCTTACCTTGTATTGCACTTAAATCTTCCATTGGGCGTTATCATATAAATACTAGGAGGTTTAAAAGGAAATTCTCTGGGAAAAACTAGTTTTCCATGATAATAACCACCTACATCAAAAGAGAGAAAGAGCCTCGTCAGGGTCCACAGTGCAACTCCTGTGGGGGCAAACCCCTCCCACCCAGCCCCATTCCAGCCCTCGGGCTGGCATCAATACCCTTGGCCTCCCACCCCACCCCACCCGCTCTCCCCCATCTGTGCCCACCAGCTGACCACCCCTGGAACACAAGAGTCTTGCTGGAGGTCTCACTGGGGGCTCATGACCAAAAGTTAGGGGCAGCCCTTGCCCCACATGACCACCACACAACCCTGCTCAACCTTCCTACGTCCCCTCTCTCACTCAGAGCACAGCATCAGAAAAGCTGCTGCACTGGGCTCCTCACTGGCCCCCGCCTGCCGCCCTCCCCAGCAGGTCGGCTGAGGTCACCCCTATTCAGACCCCCTCCCTCCTGCACTACTCATTTCTCCTTCCCCACCAAACTACAACCAGCAGCAAGCAGACCTGCCGTCATTTCTCCCACCATAAAAACACAAAAAAACAAAACTCTGGCCGCCACCCCCCGGGACGCCTGCCAAGGGCTCACTCTCCTTTCTGTGAAATCCCCGGAGAGCTACGCCCAAGCCCACCCTGACGAGGCCCGTGCTCCCACCACAGTACCCCAAAGCCGACAGGAGGTCACCAGACCTCCCCTCACACCTCACAACCTGGTCCTGCCTCCTCAAGCCCCACCCTGGCCTGGCTCCCCAACCCCACACCACCCCGTAAGCGCTGGCCACTGGCCCCTCTGGTACCCTCCCTGACCACTCACCTTCTGGGTCTCAGTCTCATGTGACACGAGGATACGATAATTACTCTCCAACCAGCACCTCCGCCTGGGCCTCTGGGCCCCCACCCCCAGCTCCAGACCCATGGACGGACGGACCATCCAGGCAACACTGCCCAGACGGGTCCAAAAGAGAATTCCAGCTATTTCCCCCAAACAGCAATTCCATCCTCTTGGGCGTTCAGACTAAAATCTGGGAGGCCCCATTGCCACCCCCCGCCGGCCCTGCCGCCGTTTCACACCTACTCCATCAGCAAATCCTGCTGGCCACACCTTCAAACTGATCCGGACCAACACTCTGGGTGACCTTGCTAGCCTCATGGCCTTCAGCCCTGCCCACTCAGTTCCCAGTCCCACTGGCCATGCCTACCTGAGGCCTCACACCCTCTCAGGGCTGCACCTGGGAGCCTGTTGGAAATGCAGAGCCTTGGGCCCACCACGGGCACATTAAGTAGAACACGCACCGACAGGACACCTGGGGATGTCTGTATGCATACATACTTGCACAGTGAGGCCTCACGAGCTGCCCTCACCTCCACCTGGTCTCCCTGCTGCCCCCGGTACCCTGGGTGTGGTCCCACTTCAAGGACTAGGGCACACTAGTCCCAAAGAGTCACACGTGTCTGCTCCAAAGCCACTCTCGGGTAGGGCCTCCCCACCACCTCATTTGGGCTCCCCACCAGAGCCCCAGCCCCTCATGTGAGTGCGGTCTTCTACTCCAAGTTCTGCCAGTGGTGGACGGATGACATGAGCAAGTGTCCCTCGTAAGGCCAACCCAACAGGCCAACAAGTCCACCAGTGAGAGACTAACACTATAAATGACACTCAGAGCGCACACACTCAAAATCACTAAGAAAAGAAAGCCAAATTGGGAAATAGGCAAGTGATACAAACAAGGGCGTTTCCTAAGAGGAAGCAGGAAGAGTCAATGCACGTTTGAGACGGTCTGGCTCAGCACTACACAAGAAATGGCTGCCACATGTAGCTTGGGGGGGGCGGGTAGTGGGAAGACACTGCCTCCGAGGCACAGGTGTGCACCTGCCAGGGAAACAGAACTCTCAATACCTGCGCTGACCCCGCAGCTCGACCTCCTGCGATCTACTGGACAGATGCTAGGTGAAAACCTTCCGCCGAGGGAAGGGCTCCATGCAGGAGCCAGGCAGAGGCAACACAGGGAGCAAACTGGAGAAGCCAACAGCAAGTTGCACGACATGCAGCAGGCGGTGCACGCAGAGCCACAGAAGCATGCCAACCTCCACATCTCGGTGCCCCTTACGGTGCAGAAGATGAATCCTGGGAGGATCTGTGCTGGAGGGGGGCCCAGGACGGCTCATCCTGAGAGGTGAAAAGGCCAAGCAGGGGACATGGGAGGACAGAGCCTCCAGGGAGGGCAGGGAAGCAGTGCAAGGCCAGCAGCTCCCACATCCTTCATTCCAAGTGTCCACAGGGGACGGAGCGAGGAGCACAGCCTTGGCCAAGCCCTGGGGACAGAAACTACAGAGAGCACTGTGGCCCTGGAAGGAGGCCAGGGAGAGCACCCAGCACGATGCTGCCCTTCAACGCTGCCCTTCCTCCGCTGAACTGCTTTTGTAACAAAGTGGGGAAAAAAGAAAAAAATCCACAGGCCACAGCTGTGCCAGACCGTTCCTGGGTTCTCTACTCTGTTCCACTGACCTGCATTTCCGCATTTCCACATTTCCCTCCAGTCTGCTCACTGAGGCTACACAAGTCTGAAAAATCAAGCAGAGTGACTCCTCCCACTTCATTCTCGTTTTAGCTGCTCTAGATCCTCTGCCTTTCCGTGTATGTTCTAGAATAAAAATCTCAGAATAAATCTGTGTATGCCTACAAGAAATTTTTATTACAACTCTGATAGGATTGTGTAAAACCTACAAATCAATTCAGGGAGAATCTTCAGCGACACCCACGCTCGCAGGAGGCCGCTTCAGAACTGTTAGGGTCGGTGCACCCGGAGGACGCTGTGCCAAGCAGACACATGGACAGGGACAGGCGCCCTGAGAGGCTGAGAAGGCAGGCTCAGGACACCCCGAAGTCAGGGGAGGAGCAAGTGAGGAGGAAGCCAGAGTCAACACCACTAGAGTCCACAGAACCCCAGACACTGAGGCCTGAGATCTGTCCCTCGGACTGGCAGTTTGGAGGGGTCCCTTACCGACCCAGGTGAGAGCGGTCAGCAGAAGGAAGGGCTGCAGGCTGCAGAGTGTAGCCCTGAGCTGAGGAGAGGACGGGCAGCAGGGGAGGGGGCAGGAGCAGGTGCTGAAGTGGGCAGAGGAGGAGGAGGAAGAAAGAAGGGGTAGGAGGGGCAGCAGGAAAAGCTCTGTCTCTGGAAGGGAATCTTGCTGGCAGCCTGAGGGCCGGAACCAGCAGGGAAATGCACAGGGGAGTACCAGACACAAGGAAGCATTCGTGACAGGCTTGGGTCTGAAAAGAGGGCACCTCTTTCTGCAGAGACAGGAGACCCCATGCTAGCCAGGGCCTGGGGGGCATGGGGGTCTCCTGTAGTCCCAAGCCCTGCATGCCTTCGCTCGGGGCCTGCCCTCTCTTCTCCCCGCTGCCTCCACCCCTGTCCAGGCTCATTTCCAGCAGCAACAGGCCTGGATACAAATATTAATAAATGTTCACTATTTATTCGGAAAATACTAAAACTATAAAAAAATAAACTTAAAAAGCAGGCACAATGCCCCTTGTGAGAGAGAGCACACACTCATGTCCTACTGTGTCAGAAACACATATTTAACAAGCATTCTAACATGGTCTGTCCAAACGGCCATAAAGCCCGTACTTTTGCTGCATTTCTAGGAAATCAAGCCCACATGCCACTGTTGGGCTTTCGGGCAATCTTGCAGATTCTCCTTTTTTCGGGCAGTCCCCAGCATGTCACTATGAACACACCCAACCTACAGAGAGGTCTGCACCTGTCTCCCTAGGACACATCTTCCCATAACAGGGACTCCTGCATCAAAGGAGAGTTAGTGACATATAGGCCAAACGTTCTCCTCCAGCAGCCGGACTCTTTTCTAGTGAAATCTTATGCAAAAGCCCCATGTGGAGGGAGATGTCACCTGAAGTGAGGACCCAGTGGCTAGAGAGCTGAAGGTACTGCCCACCTGGCCACAGCTCTGCCCTGGGCTTGTCCTGCCATGGCTCATCTCTCACCCTGGCCTAAACTCTGAGGCTGGTGCCAGGCTCCCCGCAGCCCCCCGATGTGCTGGCTAATCCCAGGTCTACTTTGTAAATGACACCAGAGGACCCTGAGTGGCATCACCGGATCAGCCTCAGCAGCAGTTAGGAGAGCAGAGGTGCCCAGCTGACCCAGAGCAGATCCTCCCTAAGCCTCAGTGCCCCATCCACAAAGGGGCCCCACCACTTAGCTCAGAGGGCGCAGCAGAGTGAGTGCTCCATAAATACACCTTTCCTTCCTCCAACAACACTCATGCTGGTCTGAACAAACCCCGGGAGAAACTGGCCGCACTGTCCTGCTCACCAGGTCTGTCTTGCAGCTCTGATCCTACTGACGTCAGAGGCTGGGTAAACCCTAAGACTTACAGATAGCCCCCGAAGACTGAACACAATGGCAAAACCAAACACTTCTAGGACCTGAAGAAACACTGGGATGGATTCCAAGCAAGTCCAGTCTCACTAATGCACATCCAAAACAGGGCGTGATTCACAAATACCAAGTGTTTGATCGGTGAGGTCTATTCAGACGGTCAAACGGACTCTTGTTCCTCGCAGATTAAAGACTTACCTTCATAAGGGGTCATCTCTGGGCCTCGGACCACATAGTGCCTGAGGGAGAGAAGAAAATCAGCTAGCTCTGGGGATGACAAATTCTCCAAATTTAGAGTCACTCCAAGGCTGGGGTTTGTAGGGTCCAGCCAACGCTAGATATTCACAAATATTCAATAGGTGAACTTGTACTGTAGATGGTTTAGTCGCTTTGTAACAGAATCTTAAAAACCGTATCTTGTGAGTTTTCCACAGAGTATTTTTATGTCCACAATATGCAAGAAAGGAATCCTCTCTAACCATTATAGCCAAATGACAATTTTTCCAATGTTAATTTCACATACATTCTTGAGGTGTACTTGGAAACTTGCATTTTTCAGTGTGCCCAAGTATTGTGAAGTAGGCCGAGCAGGGAAGAGCTGGTGACATGAGGTGGCTCTGTGCCCCCAGCATTGATGTTCCGGGAGAAGCAGACCCGACCTCGGAGGGCTGACCTGCCGCAGGAGGAACAGGCACAGCCCAAGCCCATCACTGAAGTCCCCGCACAGAGCAAAAGCAGCTGCACCCAGAGACTCCACTCGCCCACACAAACAAAGAGGTTCAGCTCTTTGTCAAGAGGTGTTTGAACTCAGAGATTTTCAAACAAAACAGAAAAGCACAAAGGAGAAAGAACCAACCGGAAACGCAAGACCAGACCATCCCTTCACAAACCCCCATCCCACAAACACCGCCTTACCGCTGTGGACCATGCTGGCTGATACATCTGACTCCAAAAACACTGTCATCCTACGTTGGCAGACCAGGAACAACCCTCAGAGCTAAGCGCATGACACACCCAGGAACATGGCCTTAATTTGTCACTGCTCCCAATTCTGGTGCCCGATTTGAGAACACTGGGTAGGGGCAGTGAGTGAGTGCACCTTTCCCAATGCCATGATGGGAGCCAGCAGAGAACCCAGATGCCAGTCAGTGTGAGGTGAACGGCAATGCAGAGCCTTACCATTCAAGAATATTGGAAGGGAGGGGCTCAGCACAGATATAAGGCACCGGGTCCTTCTTAATTCGAAGATAGTCCTGTTTCAGCCGCTGGGTCGCTGTTGTTGGAGCTCTTTTATTGCTGTTGCTGCTCATCTATGGAAAACAAACATTTCTGTTTACAAAGAAGGGGAAGGCACGCCACTGCTCTCCTCGCCCACAGACAGCTTCAGCATCCCGCACTTTTGCTTTCGTTTCTGCGGCCCGTCATCACGCACAGTTAATCCCAGCCACCCAGAACCCAGGCCTGTGGGTTGTCCTGACTTGCCCACCCACTCAGACGCCTGCAGGACTTGCAGATTCTCCTTTTCCGTCTGCCCTGCCACAACCTTCATTTATGTAATATCAGATACAAAAATTAAGGGGGGAAAAAAAAAACCCAAAGCCTCACTCCTGTCCTCAAAGAACCAAAATGGGAAGAAAAACATCTAATTTACTTTTTTTTAAAGATTTTATTTATTCATTTGAGACACAGAGATACAGACAGACAGAGAGAGAACATGAGCAGGGGGAGAGGCAGAGGGAGAGAGAGAAGCAGGCTCCCTGCTGAGGCAGGAGCCCAATGTGGGGCTCGATCTCAGGACCCTGGGACCATGACCTGAGCCGAGGGCAGACGCTTAACCATCTGAGCCACCCAGGCACCACGAAAAAATCTTATTTAAAGGGTTCTAAGTAGAGGTGTGCTAAAGCCAGCCTGGACCAGTGCTCCTGAATGTGCAGATCTCTCCAACTCTGTGCTAATGAAATGTTTATACCATGGAAATCAGGATGCACCCCAAAGGAGCCCCCCGCGAAAGCCTGCTGTTAAACATTTTCCAACACATCTACCACTGCACAGAAGTGGATGGGAGGAACAGGGGAGCAGAGAAAGGGCCTCTCCCTGAGACTGGAGAGGGAGGGGACCCTTGAAAGTACAACACACACGCGGGGAAGAGGGACAGAAGGAGCTACAGGGACTTGGGCGGCATCCTGGGCCCAGGGAAGAGAACTGGGCCACTGTATATGGAGCCACAGCACAGCAAAGGGGACTGACAAGGCTGGCCAGGGAGGCAAGGCCGGGCGGCCAAGCAGCAGAGCAGAAAGTTTGTAGGCCCAAGCCTTGAGGGAGATCAGATTTTGTTAGAAAGATCACTCGGACATGAGGCGCCTGGGTGGCTCAGTCGGTTAAGCATCTGCCTTCGGCTCAGGTCATGACCCCGGAGTCCCGCATCGGGCTTCCTGCTCATCGGGGAGTCGGCTTCTCCCTCTCTCTCTGCAACCCCGTCCCCACCACTCATGTGTGTGGGCACTCTCTTCTCAAATAAATTTTAAAAAATCCTAAAAAAAAAAAAAAAGATCACTTGAACAGTTCAGTGAAGGTCGAATGGGACAGATGAGATGGCATGGGAGGGACAGGACAGCACTGAAGGCTGAGGACCTGGAGCGAGGCCTCAAGAGAAGAAACATGGCCTGGCTTAGGGGGCCCTGGGACACTTCAGCTGTGCTCAGAGGCAGAGGGCAGGGATGGTGAGAGAAGACACAGAGCTCCCCACCCTCACAGACATCAGAACAGCTCCAACTCAAACCGCTTTATACACTGAAGTTTCCCATAAGATAGCAAGGCAAAAAAGTTCTGCTGCTAAAAATAAAGTGTGAAAGCCACTGGTCTAAAATATGACAGAGACAGAGGACATGTAGGGGTACGCAGGAAGGGAAAGGAGACAGTGGTGGCAAATCGGAGCCATACCTGTCCTGCTCTCCCCCCGGGCTACGAACACTGCCACTCAGCAATCTCAGCCCATCTTGCCACAGCACTGGACATCAGCAGTCAGGATCTCCACCCTGACCTCTGGCCTGCACAAACCTGAAGTCACTCCAACCCCATCCCCCACCACAGTGCTTGCCCCTCCTCACCTTCACCTCAGGGCCTCTGTGTGCTCATTTCCCTAGCGACCGCTCCATCAGGTCAGAGGTCTGCGGACTCCTGCCCCTTTGCAGGCTGAATTCCCCTCAGAGCACTAAACCCCTAGACGACAGCCTGGGCTCAGTGTGCTCACTCTACACCCCAAGGCCTGCAGAGCAGTCCTCCACACACCAATGCCCACCGCACTTCTCTGGGCCCCTAAAGTTCAGGGCCTCTGTTCTCCTCCTTCTCCCGTCCCCACTCCACTCACCCTAATGCAGGGTCCCACTATTGTTCCCATTAACCACCACAACAGCCTCCCAACTGGCCTCCCCGCTTCTAGTCTCACCCCACTTCTGTATACTTAACTCAGATTAACTTTCTCCACCCACAGTTCCGATCACAGCACTTCAAGATTCCCCCAGAGCCAAGCCCTTGACAAAGAAGCCCCAGCTAGTCCTCCTAGTTCCCCGCTCCCAAACCCCCTCCTCATCCTAACCGGATGGCTGCTTCTCAGCCTGGTCTCTACTCGCAAAAAATTCACTTAAGCCCTTCCTGGCCTAGCTCTTCTTGGCCTAGCCAAGCTAAGTCCCTCAAAAGCCTCCCTGACTCCCCTAGTCATATGCCTCCACCAGCCTCCCTGCGACCCAGCTCCACACCACTCAGGTGCCTGCCAGGCCCCAGCAGAGATACTGGTGAACCCACAGCAGGAGAAGGCTACAGAACAGCCTGGGAAGGGATGCCTTCCCGCACAGCACTGCCCCCAAGCTCCTGGCCGAGCCAAGTGGCCCAGGCGGCTCACCCGGGACCAACACCTAGTAACAAATGGCAACAGCCCAAAAGCAGAACCACCACTGGACTTGTTTCTTTTAAATGTTTGTATGAAGTTAGCGCTCTGCCGTATACAGGACGATTCACTGGATAATTCAAATACCGCTGTGTTGGCACTCAATTACGTGGCCAGGCTGGATGCTTAATGAAGGCCACCGGACAGCCACACAAAATAAATGGACCCTGCCTGGTCAGTCACACGTCCCCTCGCATTCTTTTGCTCCCAAACGTATGGTCTTTAAGTCACATTTATGATTCAACTACTCAGTTCGTGAAAACGAAGGGCTCCCACTGACCCCTCCTGTGCTTCAGTCAGTGCTCTCCTAGCCCCTCTAGTCCACAGCACCTACACACACTAGGAAGCATGTCTCAAGTCCCTGCGAACCCCACAGACAAGGCCCATGAAAGCGCATTATGCTGAAAGAAAGAGTGCATTTAAAAAGAAAACGGCACGAATAAAACATTTTCACTACAGAAGCTGAGGGAAAGCAGCCTGAACCAGTGTCACAGGGCATGAGTCCCTTCAGCCTCACATGGACACAGGCTTGCCCCCTGCCCAGTACCCATTCCCATTCCTTTTTTCTCCGCACATCTCCTCTGCTCCGTGTCAGTGTAACTCAGGTGACAGTGTGGCAAGAGACCTTGGCCAGACTGACCCGCTGGGCACGTGACACACCCAAGCCCAAGACTTTCACGGAAGTTTGTGCACCTGCCTGGGCGGAGAGCCGCCCCAGAGGTCAGCCCTTCAGAACAGTGCAGATGATGAACTGCAAGTTCTAGGCACCGAGATCCAACCGTGCCTCATCAACGCAGCCAGTTTTCCAGTTAGGCCTCTTTCTACCAAAGCTAGATTACAGTTTCCTCACCTGGAACGGACAGAGCACCCACGCTCCCGCTGCTGGAGTGTGCGTTCTCCTGCACTTACTAGCACTACTCCCGCGAGGCTGTGGCCATGCCTGGGCCCGGAAAGATGTCGGGAGCTGGATCTGAACTAAACACAGACCAGCTAGGTGGTATCGACTGCAAAGGGGGCCAGAGGTCTACACCTGGCTAGACGCTGAGAGGCTGCAGGTACCCGGCAGACGTGCCAAGTGGGCAGGCACACACGAGGAACTGGCCCGGGGCCCAAGTGGAGCCACCCCACTGCGGCTTCCCACTCTTACCGCCCGATTTTCCTCTCGTTATTACCCCAACAGGCATAACCCCAAGCACACTCATCCCCGCTGGGGCTCAGCTTAGGGTACTGTTTAGGGGTGAAGCGGCGACGGGCTCAACGGCAGCCACCCCAACAGCGATTCCCGGGGACATTTACAAACCAAGATCTATGCCGGCTAGTCCTGGAGGTGCCCGCAAGCGCGCCACTAACAGAAGGCCTTTCCGCAGGAGCCCCAGCCGTGGGGCCAACCCAACGCCCAAGCTGGCCAGAGGAGCACCCCGGCCCGGAGCCCCGGGCGCCCCGCCGTAACCGACCTCAGGTTCCGCGCACGGAAGCTCCAGGCCGGGGCCCCTCGAGCGGCGGGCCGGGCGGGGACGAGCCTTGCGACGGCCCCGTGCCCTCCGCGCGGGCCGGCCCCGGCGGAGCGGACGCGCGGCCGAAGCCCCGGCTCAGGCCCGCGCCGCGCTCTCACCTCTCCCCGTAGCCGCGCGTGGGCCGCCGCCGCGCTCAGGCTCGCCGTGGTCGAGGCCGGAGCAGGGAAGGAAGAGCGTGGCCCGCGCCGGAGAGCCTCACCGCGCCGGGACCGAGGCCACCGAACCGCCGCAGGGCCGCCGCCGCCTCAGCTTGCAAGATGGCTGTTCGCGGGGCGGGGGAGACTCATGCCCGCTTCCGATTCCGGTGAGCCGCGCTCCGGGGCGGCCGCTCTAGCCGGCCGGGCGGTCGTCGCCTGCGTCTCGCTGCCACCTCCCACCCCTCCCGGCCGGGACCGACCGCGCGTGCGCACTGGCGGGCAGCTCCGTGGGGCGGGGCCCAAGGGCGGACGGTCGGCGCGTGCGCCCTGGCGGTCAGCGCCGCCGCGGGTGTGGGGAGGTGTCGGACCGCTGGTCTCTCAGGTGATCTGGTCAGGCGGTCGGGGCGCTGCGAAGCATCCTTCCGCCATAATACTGTCCGGCGGGCGGCCCCAGGGGTTGTCAGCGGCCGATGGGGTCCGTCCCAGAGCGGGGCGCGCCATTCTGGGGAAGACAGACAAGCCCAGGCCAACGGTGACCCCCGAGGTGCCAGCGTGAACTCTGCTTTGAGTTCCCTGGGACCCCGACAGTCCCACCGGCTACCTTCCGAAGGATGGGGCCGATCCGGTCTGGGGGGCCAGTCCTTGTGCTATGTAACGGAGAGCACCCGAGGCACTAGGGTCCCCCGGCCCCATCAGTGACTGAACCCCGCTCGGGCCGCTGAGGGTTACGTCCTGATTGGCCCTGTCTGGCCACCAGTGAGGCGCGGGGACCGCGAGCCCTGCGAGAACCTGTGCCAGGTGGGGTCTGCTGTGGGCAAGGCTGTCCAGCCCCTGCCCGTGGGGGAGAGCCGGCCTCATAAAAATAGTTCCACTGTTTTCCCCAACTGAATTTTCCACCCAGCCCATGAATAGGGTCATTATGCAACAGTGGACACTGCACTGAGGCTTGCTTTCTGCTCCCACGGTCCCCTCCCTGGCCTAGGGGAGGGGGAGGCAGAGCTGGCCACCCGGCCATGGGAGTATGCCTGAAGCAGGCAGGTGGGGATACTGTTCCAAGGGCCAGTGTCCGTGGAAAGGACCCTGACTGCGGAGGCCTGGAGCTGGTCCTCTCCACCTCCTCAAGCTGGCCGTGAGGGAAGGCTGGGAGGAACATGATGACACACAGGAGGTCGTAAAGTTGGTGTTTGAATGTGGGGTGGGCGGGGCAGCTGAGCAAGCCAGGATACTGACCCCGGAGAGAAAATCCAGGACAGGGCCAAGTGGGGGGGCCTGGAGTGTCCCCTCGTGGGTTATGTCAGGGGAAATGCTGCATATCAACTATGAGGCAGGTGGTGGTCATCAGTCCAGACAGATCTGGAGAGGCCATTGCTGTGTTGGACTGTCTGGCTCTGTGGGACAGAGCTAGGGTTCCAAACCCTTCACCGTGCCCCTGACTGCCTCTTCACAGGTCAACAAGGTGACTGATCACATGACCATTGACAGTGGACACCGAGCACCGACAGGTCCAGCTGTGGCCACTGGCGGAAGACAGGCACCATGCTTACCCTTCAGTCTGGCCCACCCAGGGCATCTCAGGCAGGATCTGAGCAGCCCCAGGCCCTGGGCGGAACCCAGAAGGAGTGCTCATCACCCCTCAGTCCGCAACCAGGCAAGTCAACCCGTGGGAATCCAGCCTGTTTCTGCCTCCTACCACATCACCCATCCCTGGCCTGCCTTCCTTCTGGGGAGGCTGTTAGTTTCCAGAGCTCAGCCGCCTGCTGCCACACTCAGCATAGTGCCTTCACTCCTCCACCTCCTCCAGGGGCTCTGCCATCCCCACACGGGGCGGGCCCGGCTGTTTTTAGCACATGGAAAGTTATGTAAGGGAGGCCACTCCAGGGCACCTGGGGTTCAAGCCCAGGTGTGTCTGACATACACCCACACACACCTGCAGAGCCCAGGCAGTGACAGTGTGGGGCTGGGGCCTCGGGCAGGTAGAGGCCCTCTCCTGCCTCAGTTTGTCCCTGTGTAAAATGGGGGTGCCGACTCATGTGGGAGCATCTTGATGGGAAGACTCAGCTCAGAACCCCTCAGCGTCAGCCCCCAACCTCCTGATCACCAAGCACCCCTGAGTCACACCTAAGGGAGAAGAAGGTGCCCAAGACAGATGTGGCCGGCAGGTCCTGCCAAGACCCTCACGCTACCAGCCCCACATAGGCTGTCTTCCAGGTCAGCAAGGCCCAAGCTGCCCAGCCCTCTGGCCATAGAGCTGATGGCCTCAGCAGTCGAGACAGGAGTGGGCAGCTAGGCTGGCAGCAAATGACAACTGAGACCTTCTCCAACCCCAAAGCCACCCTTTTGGAGCAGAAGCTGGAGCTAACCCTTTCTGCCAGACTTCCTTCCCACCCCTCCCACCGCTGCCAATGGCCAGGCTGCGGGAAGAGGGTGGCTGTCTTCTCTCCTGAGCATCTTGGGTGGGGGGGCCCATGGCTCTGTGTCGGAAGAGCTACCAGAAAACCAAGAGGGTTAGAATCAAGAAAACATCCCCCTTACCAGTTGCTGCTACCCCCTCCTCAGGGCAGGACTTGAAGGCCTCAGTCACATCTGACTGGGAGGGACCACCTGGCCAGGGCTCAAGAGAGGGTACCAAAGAGCCAGCCTGGAGGTGACCAGGCAGGAAGTGTGCACATACCCCACCCCTTCCAGTGGGAGACACCTGGCCAGACCCTGAGCCCCACCCACCCCCAGCTGGCTGGAGGCACCTCAGGGAGTCCCCTCTGTGCTCACTGGAGCTGCTGCTTAACCCTGTGGTCAGTGTTTGGAGGCAGGGAGAGGTTCCACATTTGCACCAAGAAGGCCCCTCACCCTCCTGGAAGCAGGTGGGCCAGCCTCCAGGCCCAGGGAGGACGACCCCCACCTGCCCACATCCACCAGGAATCCGGTACATATGCAGAGCCCACGGGCTCAGACTTCACTTCTGTCACACCAGAGTCCCCTAGGACCATCTCTAAGCTGCCCCTGAGGGGGAGGCCACCCACAGGTGAATAAGCTGAGCCTGGGGGCCCCATGAAACACCAGGCACCAACAGTTTCCAGGACAGCCCCAGCCTGGAAGGGGATGCCTTGGCACCCCTAGGCCCAGCCTCATGAAGGCTCCCACTCAAAGTCCCGAAGAGGGGTTGTACTCAGCAGGTTGGGGCCAGCCATCCTACTGTCCTTCTGGGGAGAGGGTGGAAGACGTGGGACCACCCACCTGTCCCTTCTCTGAGGCGTCCTCACATTCCTTCACTACAGCTATTGAGGAGTGACCACATGGGCCTACGCTGTGCCAGGAGCTGGGGTCACCCTGTCCTGCCCTAGCCTGCTCCTCCCGGGGCCAGTGAGGCCTGGGGAGGCAGGAGAAGGGATGCACCAGGAAGGGAGGAGGGGGCTGCCAGCCTCAGTGCCACTGGGTACGGTCTCTCTGTCCTGCTGAGGCAGCCAGAGACCTCTCTGCCCTCCCAGAGGTGGGCTCGGGGTGACCTCCTCCCCTCCCCACTGGTCGCTGATCTTTGGCCCAGGCACCTTATGCTGGCCCCTCGGCAGTTCTCAAGCTGTTTCCCCAGGAGGAGGGAAGGGAGGTGTGTGCCTTCTGCCTCGATGATCTGTGACTCAAGCCCCTCACCATCACAGGCATGCCTCTGCCCCTGGCCAGGGCTCCCTCTCCCACAGGAAGGTGGGGGCTCCTGTTCCCTGTAAGTGGCCCTTGGCTGGCGAGGACTCTGGCCAGACCTGAGCTCCCCAAGCTCGGGGTCTGCAGGTCCCTCCTTCCTGGCAGCTCCCTTCTTCAGCCTCCTGAGCAGGGAGCCACAGGTCACTCCTGTTCTCATTACCCAGAGCGCCCGGGACTCCTCTGGCTGCTCACAGGCCTCCCCCAGGACAGTGGGCCCCCCTATCCCACAGAGGAAAATTGCTCAGTGGCAGAGGGCCTGAGACACCCCAGGCCTGTGCTGAGTCTGGAGGGTCTGATGTGGGGCTCAGGGAGGGGTAGCCACACCAGTGATATCAGCTGGCCCCACCCCTGAGCCTTGAGCAGGAAGAGGAAACTAAGGCCCATTTTGCACTTGAGCTAATGGACTCCGAGAGGTTGATTAATTTGGGCAAGGTCACATGATAAGTGACAGAGCCATGATGCGCATCCACACCCAGGTGAGCCCAGGGCCTGTTCTTCCCCAGGCATATGACTTCCTCCTCCCAGACATCACCAGTGACCATTCTGCCTCCTTCCAAAGCCACAGGCGGATGACCTCACCCCTCCTCAGAGCCAAGGCCCCACCAGCAACCCCAACCCACTGTTGGAAGTGAGGCTCCCTCCCTCATCCCAGTCCAGGCCCTCTGCACTGATTTGGGGTGGGGTGTCAGAACCCTAGAGCTTGCCCCCGGGGGGGTGGGGGGGCAGTAGGGCCTGAGCCACACCCTCAAACCTGGTACCAGGCTGAGGGTCTGCTTATTAGGGAGGGTGAGACCTCCGGGTCATCCTGGGGACATGCTGGATCCCCCACTGGGGCCAGAGGTGGTGGGTCATCTTGGGACGGGGGTGAACTGGGTGTCCTGCCTTCAGCCACACTGAGGCCAAGGACTTCAACCCCCAAGACGGTGTGATCCGGACCCTGAGTGTGCTGTGTGTTCTTAGCATGTGCTGTGTGGTCTTAGCACATATGTGACCAAGACACGGGTGTGTCATCTTTGTGGGCGGGGTGTTGTCTTAGTATGTGGTGTGGTCAGCGGTGGCCTTCGCGTCTGCTGGGAAGAGTGAACCGTGGGCCACAGGGTGCCAGGTGTCATCTCCACACCCAGGCCGAGTTGTTCCCACGGTCCGAGCCTGTCCCAGTGGCTGGCCCTACACACCTGGGTTCTGGGAGCGGAGGCCCCTGCCCGGCGTCTCTTGGTCACAAACACCTGTGGTCAGCGCTGACTGCGTGAGCCGGGCAGGCATCCCTCGCCGGCCTGTCGGAAGGAGAGCAGGCAGAGAGGTGAGTGGCCAGGGCACACTGCTGGGGGCAGCCAGAGCTGGTGTCTGACCCAAGAGAGATCTGAGCTTCGGGAGGTGGGGGAGCAGGGGGTCTGCTCGGCAGGAGGCCGCTGAGCCGTGCAAGGGGGTCTCAGCCAACACAGGCCTCTCCTCTCCCTGTAGGAACCAGGAACCCCTCATCCCCAGGGCTCTGGGCAAGGAAATCTCACCCAGGGGCAGGACCCCCATCCCTGCCCTCATGGCTTCCCCTTCCGGATCCAGAGTGGGTGTGTCTGCCCCCCCCCCCCCCCCCCCCCCCCCCCCCCCGCCAGCTGGGCCCCGCCCTGCCTCATCCCACGCCCAGCCAGCCTGTTATAAACAGGTGGCTGCCTGGCCAGTGTCGGGCCACATCCCACTTTGTCTTGTCACCTGCTAGAGCTGCCATCACTGAGGCCACCCACCACGGGAGAATGGAGGCACCTGCAGAAGGAGGCTCCAGCTTCCAGGTACCAGAGGGCACGTGATGTGGGCTTCCTTTCCCATGCTGGGGGGCAAAGAGGGAAGGTCATCTCTGGGGGTCTCTCGAACCCGAAGTGGAGGGAGTTGTGTCCCACACGTGACCTTCGGCACAAAGGCTGAGAGAAGAGGGTGACGCGGTCCCCACTGACTGAGGGCTTGGTGTGTGTGACAGGAATACGTGGGTGGCATGCACCCCTGCTTCTGCTGTGTCCGACGTGAGGCACCTCGGATCCCTCAGGGCGTCTGGGGCCCTCTCTCCCAGGTGTCTGGACCCTGCCCTTCCCTCAGGAGGCCCCAGAGGCTCTCCGTGGTCCTCAGGATCCCCATCTCCAGGGCGTCCCTTTTCCTACCCTGGTAGCCCCAGCTGGGGCAGGAGGGGGCTGGTTTGGGCTGCACGTCTGGAGGAGGGTAAACATGGTTACTGGAGTCAGAAAGAACCTTCTGGAACCCCTTTTGCCTAACCTATAACACAGCCGAGCCCTGTTTCACCGTGAAGGCCCAGTGTGATCCTGGTGGACACACATGTGGGCAGAGCTCTGTGCAATGTGAGACCCAACATGAGCACCCCATGCTGGTACCCGCTCTTGACCAGGCAGGTGGGAGGCCCACCCCAGACCTGAAGCCAGGAAGGAAGGCCAACCCACCCTCACCTTGTACCTGTGGCCTCACGCCGCTGGCTTGCCTGCTCCAACACAGTTTCCCAGAGCACGTGGGGGCCGCCTGCTCAGGTGTACCAGGCTGGGCATGTGCTGGCTGAGATGCAGCAGGGGCTCAGATGCACCCCCTGGCTCAGCCCCCTCCCCAGGTTCCTCAGGAGGGGGCCAGAGCTCAGGAGGCCCCACCTTGGGTGCAGGAAGGCCCAGTGATTCAGACCAAGAGGCAGACGGTGTGGGAAGTCCCCCGGAAGCCTGTGCAGTGACTCCACATGTATTCGGGGCAAGCAGGCGTGGCCTAGTCAGGGTCCCATGTCCCTGTGTGCTGGAGGGACTGGGGGTCTGGGGGCCCTGGGTCTGTGGCTCTACTTCTCTAGGGCCCTCAGGTCCCCACCACTGGCTAGCCCACTGGCCCCCTGCCCACTTTTCCTGAAGCCTAAGGTCTACAAACAGGGCTTCCCTGGGGACAAGCTCAGTAGATGATGCCTCACCAGGCACCCAGAGCACTGAACAATCCTCAGGCCTGACCCTTGGCCCAGACGTGGCCGGAGCAGCCTGGTTCCATCAGTCCCAATCAAACGTGGCCATGCTAGCCACTAAGGGTTGGTAGAGACAACTGAGGCCCAGAGTCTAGTCTTAGTAGGGCCCCTAGACCTTCAACATTGGCTCGAGGCCCAAGGACACAATACAGTCCCCACCCCAAGCAGGTCACCCACCTGCCTGCCCTTCCCTAGAGTCCCCTGCCCAACTTGAGTGGACAGTAAGCCTGTGTGCAAACAGTACCAGGCAGGGCTTGGACACCATATTCTCTGCTGTCCCTGTCCCCACCAGCAGACCCAGCTCTGGCTGCAGTAAGACTCGCGTGCGGAGGCTGCCCAGTGCCTGGCCCGGTGTGGTGGAGGGTGGCTGCAGGGCCAGTCCCAAGCCCCCGATAGGGCCTCTTTTGAGCATCAGCGGGCTGGGTGGTGCCATTGGTGGCCGGGGGACATGACTGTTCCTGGAGTTCCCAGGGACAGAGAATGGCAGTCCTACCAGCCCAAGGTGAGGAGGCCCGAGTGGGAGTCAGGCCAGGCAGCAGGCGGAGGCCACACTGCGGCTTGCTCCTTGGCCACAGGTAGGAGCCACGGCCCATGCAACCAGTGGTTCCCCAGTGTTCTGTGAGGCCCAGCGGCCCCTGCCACCACTGCTGGAGGGCAGGCCGAGAGAGAGGCTGGTGGAGCTACACACCTCCTTCAGGGAGCTGTTCACCTTCTTCTGCGCCAACGCCACCATCCATGGGGCCATCCGCCTCGTCTGCTCCAGCCAGAACAGCCTCAAGACGGCGTCCTGGGGGCTGCTGCTGGTGGGCGCCCTGGGGGTGTTCTACTGGCAGTTCGGGCTCCTCTTAGCACAGTACTGGCGCTACCCGGTCATCATGACAGTGTCCGTGCACTCGGAGCTGCGGCTCTTCCCAGCCGTCACTCTGTGCGACATGAACCCACACAGGTGAGTGGTGCTGCCTCCCCACCTGTGCAGCCTGTGGGCACCTCCCTGGTGTGGTCGTTGATGGCCCCACCCCACCGCACCCCTGCACCCAGTCAGGAGCTCTGAGACCTCTGCTCTGGACGGTGGTGGTGGGGAGGGTGTTCAGGGACCAGGAAGACCCAGCTGGAGCTTGGTGTGGTCGGGGCCACCCAGACAACAGGTGCTGGGCAGCCTGGGAAGGGTGAGGGGAGGCGGGAGGGAGCTTTCCACAAGGGCAGCCTGCAGCTAGGCTTCAGGTGGGGGGCAGGGGGGCAGGAGAAAGGAGCAGGGCAGCGTTTCGGGTGGGGAGGCAGCAGGAGCAAAGACAGAAGGAGCTGTGGCCAAGCCAGGAGACTGGTGGAGTCCACACAGGGTGCGGGGGGGGGCTTCTAGGCTTGCCTGGCTGATCTTTGGGATCAGCACCACGGGGGTAGGCACTACTCTCCCCAGCAATACCTAGGGACTGATGTGGGGGCTCTGACTGAACTCACCCCTCTCCCTCGCCCTGCCACCCTCCAGGCCACGCTCAGCTCGCTACCATCTGCAGGCACTCGACGAGTTTGCCCGGGAGAATATCCACTCTCTCTACAAATTCAACTTCAGTGAGAACAGGGACGTCCTCTTTGCTGATGACCGGCTCCCACAGCCTGCCTTCTACCTGGACCGCGGGATCCGCCTACAGAGGCTGAGCCAACCAGGTGGCCAGAACAAAGTGGGTTTCCGACTGGTGAGTGTCCCTAGCCCTGCAAGGTCCTGGCACGCTGTCACCCTGCAGGGCCCTGAGTTGGGCGCGGACGGACAAGGAGGCCATGCTGAACTGGCCCCGCTCCCCTCAGTGTAACAGCACAGGGGGAGACTGCTTCTACCGGGCCTTCTCGTCAGCCGTGACAGCCGTCCGGCAGTGGTACCGCTTCCACTACGTGAACATCTTGGCCCTGATGCCCCCCGCCCGCGAGGACAGCCACCACAGCCACGGAGGCCACCTTGTCTTCTCCTGCCGATTCGATGGCCAGGACTGCCAGGCCCGGTAAGAGGGGGCGGGGCAGCGGGCTGCTTCCCCCGCTGTGGGCATGGGTGCCACCCCTGGGGTCCGGCTGGCTGCACACCGCTTCGCCCAGAGATAAGGCAGACCGCAGTCCCTCAGGCCTCGCACGACGGGGTCATGGGCTGCTATGAGTGTGGCTCCTGGTTCCAGGCACTTCCAAACGTCCCACCACCCCAGCTATGGTAGCTGCTACACCTTCAGTGGCGTCTCAGCCGCGCAGCACCCGGGCATCACCCATGGTGAGTGCCAGCCCCAGGCTGAGTGGGGCAGGGGGCACCCAGGCTGAGTGGGGCAGGGGGCATCCAGGCCAGCCTGGCCTCACCCCCTTCCTCGCCCAGGGATCAGCCTGGTCCTCAGGGCTGGGCAGCAGGACCACCTCCCTCTGCTGTCCACGGAGGCTGGCATCAAGGTCATGATTCATGGGCATGACCACACGCCCTTCCTGGAGCACCAGGGCTTCAGCATCCGGCTGGGCACCGAGACCACCATCGGCATCCGAGAGGTGGGTGGGCCCCTGGGAGCCGGGACAGAGGAGGGGCCCCAGGCCTCCCACTCCCCACGACCCTACCCAACTCCGGGGCCTCAAGGGCAGGGGCAGTGGAACTGAAGCACGCCCCCTCCCCTCAGGACGAGGTGCACCGGCTAGGGGGCCCCTACGGCCACTGCACCAAGGGTGCGGAGGGCGTGGATGTGCAGCTGTTGTACAACGCCTCGTATACCCTGCAGGTGAGCGTGCGGCCGTCGGGGGAGAAAGGGAGCGTCTCAGTGGGGACCGGGGAGGCCAGGAGAGAGGTGGTCAGGGGAGGGAGATCTGGAGTCTGGGGTGGGCCCCGGGAGAGGGAGGCCAGGGGAGGTTTGGGCCAGGGCCCAGGGGAGGTGGAGACCAGCGGAGAGGGCAGCCGAGAGAGAGAGAGAGAGAGAGAGAGAGGCAGCCCCTCCTGGGGGGCAAGAATGGAGGAGGCCAGGGGAGTGGTTTCAGGAGAGGGGGCCCAGGGGGAGGGGAGTGGGGGAGGGTGCAGGGAGGGCAGGTGCACTGCTGAGGCGAAGGTGAACCAGGCCCTCTTGCAGGCCCTGGGGGAGGGATGTCCGGCTCCAGGACCTTCAGCTCATGTCCCTGGCTGTCCCCCAGGCCTGCCTTGTGTCCTGCTTTCAGCAGCTGATGGTGGAGACCTGCTCCTGCGGCTACTACTTCTACCCCCTGCCGTCAGGGGCCGAGTACTGCAGCTACGCCAGGCACCCGGCCTGGGGTGAGACCCACCCCCCGCCCCCCGCCCCCCGGCCACTGGGGTGGAGTGCGGCCAGGCACTGTCAACCTGCAACCTCTTCTCCACCCCAGATCGAGCCTAGTGGGTTCATCTGTGACACACAAACCACCCCCTCCCCAGGTCACTGCTTCTACCGCCTCTACAGGGACCTGGGCACCCACCGGCTTCCCTGTACCTCCCGCTGCCCCAGGCCCTGCAGGTGAGTGGCAAGTGTGGGGGCTCGGGGTCAGGGGTTACTGCCACAGCACCCCAGCAGGAGTGTAAGGGGGTCTGTCTCTCCCAGGGAGTCTTTCTACAAGCTCTCTGCCAGGACCTCCAGATGGCCTTCCTCCAAGTCAGCCGTGAGTGCCCCGAAGGGGTGGGTAAGGGGCGGGCAAGCAGGTGGGTCTCACAGGTCGCAAAGGCTCACCCTAGACCAGCTGTGCCCTGCGGTCCCTGCCCTTAACACCGGCCGCGCAGCGCCCTGAGGGCTGCAAGAAGCTGCGGCCCCAGCGAGCCTTTTCTGTGCACAGGACTGGATCCTGGCCGTGCTGGGCAAGCGACGCCACAGGAGCCTGAGCCAGAGCCCAGGCCTCAGGTGGGTGCACTCCCCCTCCAGAGGCCACATCCTGGCCCCTTCCTCTGCCAACCTTGTCCTCAGTACCCCGAATTAGGACCCTGCCATGGGGGCCCAGGGCCCAGCCCCTTACACCTCTGCCTTGCCCCAGGAGCAACGTGGCCAAGGTGAACATCTTCTACCAGGAGCTCAACTACCGTACGGTGGACGAGACGCCCGTTTACTCGGTGAGCCAGCCAGGAGCCAGGAGCTGTGGTGGGGGCAGGACCGGTGGTTGGCCAGCCTGGGGCGCAGCCCTGTGCACCTGCTCACCGCCCACTGGGGCCTGCAGGTGCCCCAGCTGCTTTCAGCCACGGGCAGCCTCTGGAGCCTGTGGTTCGGCTCATCGGTTCTCTCTGTCCTGGAGCTGCTGGAGCTGCTGCTCGATGCCATAGCCCTCACGCTCCTACGGGGCTGCCGCTGGCTCCGCGGAGCTCGGGGGTCCCAGCCAGGGGCAGCCACAGTGGCATCCCACGCCAAGCCAGAAGCCAACCAGTTGCCTGCTGACTGCAGGGATGACATTAATCATCTGGGGGCCCTGCTGGCCTCATCTCCCACGATGCTTCCAGGAGCTCTGGCAGGAGTCTTTGCTGAAGAGTTAGGCCAAGTGAGGGGCCCAGCCTCCCTGCACCTGAGCCAGCCAGACTTGTTCTGATCCTGAGGGATATGGCAGTGGTGGCTCTCCCGGCTGCCCAGGGTAAATTGGACCAGCCCCGCAGAGCCACCCCAGCCAGCCAAGCCAAACCCAGGGCCTAGGAAGCAGCACTGGGGTCTGCAGGTAGGCACCAGGGTGTCCAGCCACCTGCCCAGTGGCGGCCTCACTCAGGCACCAGGGCAGGGGAGAGGGGAGTGAGTGTCCCTACCACTCTGGATTCCCAAGTCTAGTCTGTGCGTAGCCGTGAGTGTGTGTGCATGCAAGGGAGGAGGGGGCCTCCACATGGGAGTGTGCCCGTGTTTGGCCAGTGTCGTATAAATGCATGTACGTTTCTAAGTGTGTCAACCTACCTGTCTACACCTGTGTGCAGGTGTGTGTAGGCATCTGGTGGAGCCTTCCTCAGCTTGGGGCAGGTGGGAAGAAGGGTCAGGCCAGACCAAGGCACTTGGTGACCTTGGGCTGCTTTGTAATAAAACTAGCGATTCCACCTGGTGGCTACAGTGTGTGTGCCTCCCCAGTTACCCTTCCCACGTAAGTGGAAAGCCCCAGGCTGAACCTCCACACTCCTTGGAGCCACCAACACACTGTGGGGGCTGGGGGACGGGAGGACACAGTGCCCACGGCCAGCTTGCAGGGTCAGGGCTTGCCCAGGAGACGGGACCAGCCCCAGACCACCCTCCCTGGTTAGCATCCACCCCTACTACTCCCTCCAAGGGCACAGTCCAGGCCAGAGAAAGGCAGAGGGGCGAGAGACTGGGGGCTAGGGGTATAGGGAGTCAGTTTCCATCAAAGACACCCCAGGGCCCCCAGCCCGCCCCAGCATGCAGGGGCTGGGTTCTGGCTTACTGCATCCTTTCGGGGCACTGGTGCTACCCCACTCAGGGCCACCCCTCAGGGAAGGCAAAGGACCCAGAGACACCCCCTCCCCAGCGAGAGAGGAGTAAGGCGGGGGAGCCAACGACTAGGCAGGAGTGCAAGCAGCAGTTTATTAACCATGGTCTGGGGCAGGGGGCGGGTCCTGCCAGCCCGAGGCCCTGATGCAGGTAGTGGGATGGGAGGCAGGGGCAGAGCTCAAGCAGGGAGAAAGGAGAGAGTTAATTCTGCTCTTTAGGGGTCACAGCCAACAGGCAAGGGAGTTGGGGGGGCTCAGTCAGCACCCACCTTGCCGCCCATGGAGCCTCCCTGGACAGCTTTTGCATAGTGACCAGCCAACTGGCCTTGGCCAGACCAAGGACATAAGTTGGGGAGAGGCCCAGCCACTGCCCCAGGGCTCCAGGAAAGGGGACTGCAGAATGAACGCCTTGGTGGGCCCTGGGGAGTGAGCTGAGGGATGCGCAGACCCGTCCAAGGGCCCAGCCAGAGGGGTGAGGCCGGCAAGGGGCAGGGCACACCTGCAGGAGCCCCCCCAGCAGAGCCAGGTGTGTCAAGGTGGTCCTCAAGAGTCCGCAGAGAAAAGACGAAAGACAAAGTGAGAAAGAGGTCGTAGAAAACCCGCTCAGTCCGCGGCAAAGAGTGTCGGACCCGCTCAGTCCGCGGCAAAGAGTGTCGCTCAGTCCGCGGCAAAGAGTGTCGGGTGCAGGGGCGGGAAGTGCCAAAGTCCTTTATGCACCGGCTCGGGGCCAAGGGCCTCTGGAGCAGGCAGGGACAGGTTTCTGGCCGCCCGGCACTGGGGCCCGCGCGGCCAGCCACAGGGCCTTGGGACGCCTGCATCCAGCCAGGGCGGAGGCCCCAGGCCGCAGCCCGGCCCCCAGCACCCGAGAAGCCCAGCCTGGATGCCAGCCACTAAGTGAGGTACACGGGTTGATTCCCTGGATGGGCTGCCCCTTCTGCCCTCAAAAGGTGCTGGTGGCCAGCCACCAGCCCCAGGGCCTAGCAGAGGAGCTCTGGGGGCGTGTAGGAGGGACCCAACTAGCAGGTCAGTGTTCTACGGCAGTAAAGGTGGGGGCACGAGGTGACACAGGCCCTGAAGGCAGAGAGGACAGAAGTGACACAGGTCCTAGGACGGAGGGGCACAAGGTGACACTGGGCCTTCAGAGCGGTCTGTGACATGAGCACCCCAGGTGCCCAAGAAAGGGGTCACCTGAAGACACGGGGTCCGCAGGTGTGGTGAGGGGCACCCGATGACGCAGCACCTCCCAGGGGGAAATGTGGGGCTTCTTAAGACTCGGTGCTGGGGTCTCGCCCAGCCCCAGGGGCCGGGGCAGCTCCGAGGAGGGCAGAGCAGGCAGCCAGGGTTCCAGGGCCGCCTAGGCCCTGGGGCTCTCAGGAAATGGGCCCGTGGCCACCACAGGCAGGGCAGGCGGGCGGGGGGGGGACAGGGCGCTCCAAACCCGGCCCCCCCCCGCCCTAGCTCTCCTCCAGGTGGAGGCTGATGAACTCCTGGATGCACCTGCGGTACTGGAGCTCCGTGGGGCTGCTACCCGCCAGGGGGCCTGGCTGGCCTGGGGGCGCCTCGGCCTCTCGCATCTCCTCAGCCATGCGCGCCAGACGGAGCCTGGGGGAGGTGCGGTTTAAGACGAGCCGAGCGCCTTCCCCCGGCGCCGCCGCCGTGCAGCCCCGGAGCCCCACCCCCAGGGCCCCGCCCACGCTCACAGCGTGACTATGTCTGCGTTTGCCTCCTGGATCGCGATGCTCAGCGGGTCCTGCTGATCGTGGTCCAAGGCATGCTGGTCAGCTCCCCGCTTCAAGAACAGGCAGACCTGACTAAAGGGTGGAGGGAACAAGTCGGGGCCGGCCCAGGGCGGGCGAGGCGAGCCCCCGCCCCCCCCCAGGGCAGGAGGGGCGCCAGAGACTCACCCCGTGCGCCCCAGGAGTGTGGCGTGGTGCAGGGGCGCCCGGCCCCGGCTGTCTCTTTGGTTCACGTCCGCTCCGTTTTGCAGAAGGAATTCACAGACAATCAAGGAGCCCTGGAGAACCGAGGACAGTTCAGACTCACCTGGGAAATGGGCCCTCGCCGGTCTCCAGGAGGGTACAAGGGGTCCTCGCATCCGTGCCATAAGAAAGAGAGCCCTGAAGATGCACCTGTGTCCCGCGCAGCCCCGCCCCCCGCGCCTGCTCACCCCTAGCACAGCCTGCACCAGCGGCGTCTTGCCCTCGTCCTCCGCGTCCGCCCAGTTGACCTCCGCCCCGTGCGCCAGTGCCATGGCCAGCGCAGGGAGGTCTCGGGTGCGCGCCGCACGGTGCGCCAGGAGCCCAGGGTGCAGCTCACGCACGTCTGCCAGGCCCCAGGCCTCAGCCTCTCCGTCCGCCTCACCGCTGGACTCCTCAGACTCTGCACCCTCTACGGGGAGGGGAGGGGAGGGGCACGGTCAGGGGCTGCGACATGGCCTGGAGTGGGGTTGGGGTTGGGGTTGGGGGAGGGCGGGGGCTGGGCTGCAGCGGAGGTGGGGAGGCGCGCACCCACCCTCCTCGGTGACGCTGTCCACCACGGAGCCTGCGCCGAAGGCCAGAACGTCTGAGCTGCCATCAGAGCTGCCCCCTAAGCCACTGTCGCTGCTCAGACCTGCGGGGTCCGGGGACAGATGGAGATCCTTAGAGTCCCTGACTCCTCCGAGAGCTCTGCTGGAAGGCTAGAACTCCCATCCATCCTCCAGGGAATGCCCCAGGGACAGGATCAGCCCTCACTAGGGGAGGGGAGCCCTGCCTAGGATGGGGCAAAAGGGGAGAAAACAGCTCAAAGGAGCCAAAGTAATGCACCCAAGAGCACAGCCCCCCGGGGAAGCCCACCCTGTGGCAGGTCGGCCCTAGCAGGATGGATGGGCTGAAACAGAACCACGTACAGTCAGTGGGCATTCCGCTCTGTTTGTGGCGAGTGCATGCTGTGAGTTCACTGGGGACACCCCCAACCCCACCCCTCCCCCACAACACTGAGTGAAATCTCAGATGGCTTACCCAAGGGCAGCCCCAGACTCAGGAATGGTGAGGCAGCGCCCTCTGCTGCCGGAGGGCACCCCCTGGTCACCGCCCCCGGCCCTGTCAGTTCTTGGCCTGGGTCCATGCCTTCTGCCTACACTGCCCAGAGAGGCTCTACAGGTGCCCCAGACCACTGGGTGCCGATAAATCATTAACAGGAAGCCCTTGGTGGGAAACCCCGCTTGTAGGATTTGGCTCCCAACTCCAAGAGGAGCTGGGAGAGATGCACAATTGTCTCTCACAGGCTGGCTCCAGCACACAGCTGTCCAGGCCCCCAGGATGCACGCGCACACACACACCTACATACATGCCTGTATGCACATCCAGCCACGTATCCATGTACACCCGCATGCACTCACATACACATACTTACTCTGGTATGCATACCACACATGCAATTCGCAGACATCACTCTTGAGGTTCATGGCCTCAGCCTCCAACTCCGTGGCCAAGTAACCCCAGACCCTCAAGATGCTATCTCAGCCTTAGCCCTGCTTGACCCCCAAACTCTCTCCAGCCCCAACCCAGTCCTTCCTGCAAGGAACACCGGTCCCTCCAGTCTGAGGAACTGAGCCAAGGGAAGAGGGCAGCAGGGGACTAGGGCCCTCACAGCACTTACTACGTGGACCAGCTGCAGCAGCCCCTGCATCGAAGTAGGAGAAGAGGGAGTCCAGCTCATCTGGGCAGAAGAGAGAGTCCCTCCGGAACTTGCGTTCCACAGCACCTGCTGCAGGGAGGTGGGGAAACTGAGGCCCAAGGCAAAGTAGGGTGCCCAAGTCCTGCTGGGAGTCCCTGCCTCCCTCCTGCCCTGCCCCACCCTGATCTTCCTGGGGCCTGGGGTTTAGTGGCTCATGCACCTGCAGGAGCCCGCTTCCCAACCCTGCGTGGGCGGGTGAGCAAAGGGTACGGCCTGCTGGTACCTGAGGACAGAGCAGCCACGGAGGGCAGGACAGGCTCCAGGCGGACCTTGCGGCGCGCTGTGGGGGCTCGGGGGGAGCTGTGGTGGCGCTGGCACTTCTGTGCCCGCCAGTGCCGAGGTACCTCCCGGGCTGGTGCAGAGGGCAGCTTCCGCAGGAACTTCTTTTCTACATACTTGTCCTTGATCCAGGCCTCCTTGTCCTGCCTGGACCAGGGGTGGATGTGAGGCTGCACTCATGCACGGGGGCTCCCCTGGCCCCATCTAGGCTGCCCCCCCACCTCACCTGGGGCTGCTGGCTGTGGGCTTCCTGCTGCCTGGCCCCTCGCACTGAGCCTCGTAGATCTGGTTCACGGTGCTGTTTCCCAGCTCACACATCAGCTAGCAGGAGACAGGGGTGCGGGCATCAGCCCCAGCTTACAGGCCAGCCGCGCCCCGGGCTTGCAGACCCGGCTGTGGTAGCCTGGCAGCCTGTGATGGCCTCATACACACCTTCAGCAGCTCTGGCTCCCACGAGTCCAGAGTCAGGGACCGCACCTTGGAGCAGTGGACACCCAGGCTCCTGGGCAGGGAGGAGGCAGGGTGAGTCAGGGCGCGGCTGTACCCCAGCCCCCCGCCCCCCGGCGGGCCCACCTGTGGACGCCTGAGCACTCAATGCACAGCAGCACACCCAGGTTGATGCTGGCCCAGCGGGGGTCCGGCTGGCCACAGTCCCCACACCAGCCGTTGCCGGCCGCACTCTGCACACGCCGCAGCACACTCTCGCCCTTGACACTGCGCTCCCGAGAGTCCGTAGCAGAGTCGATGCTGCTCGTGGACGGAGATGCCGTGCGGTCCAGCCTCTGGGGGTGGTGTGAGGGGCCGCTCAGCCCTCAGGAGCTCCAGCCTCCCTCACCCCGGTGGGCCCCCTCCCCTTCCCTAGCCAGAGGTCCGGCAACAGGCTAGGGTAGCTGAAGCACGAGCCTGCGTGCCTGTGTGTGCCGCGTACTCACACATACACAATGGGCACGCCCGCAGGTACACAAACACACGCTCACATTGCACACGAGCAGCCCGCAGGGACCGTCTCCCCGCCGCACACAGCCGTGCGCTCACACACGCGGAGGGTGTTGAGAGGGCCACACCTCACTGTAGCAGCTGTCTGGGCTCTCCCGGTAGGCGGAGGCAATGCTGGCTTGCACAGCTTGAACCCAGGCCTGCCGCAGCTTCTCTGAATCAGCCTGCAGCATGCAGCTCCTGGAGGAAGGGGACCATCAGGCCCGGCAGGCAGGGGCTCCCTCCCCCACCCTGCTGCGGGGTGGGCCTCCTCACTTGGTGGGTGACACGACCTCAAAGCAGAACCTCCGCTCGATGTCCTCACATGGCTTCACAGAGCACAGACGGAGGTCGTCCACCACCACGGTCAGCACGTCCTGCAGGCAGCACCACCATGGCCCTTGGCCCCGCACTGACCACCCATTTGTTGCTCTACTTTACGGACACAGGCTGAGACCCAAACAGTCTCTGTCCCCTGACCATGGAGGCTCAGTGTCCTTGGCCTGTCCGACCTCCCCCCCCTGACCAGCCCACCCCAGGGTCCAGGTGGGGAGGGTCCCAGCCGTCAGTGACCCAGCCCCAGCAGCCCTGAAGCGCACCTTGAGCTTCTTCTGGTAGACCAGCTGGCTGTTCTGGATGGAGAACCAGCGCCTGGGCAGGTGGATGGGCCAGGAGGGGGTCAGGCAGGGCCAACCCCATGTCTGCCCCACAGACCCCCTGAGAAGGCCCCTCCCTCACCGGTTCCATGTCTTGAAGGCATTACTGGCCCTCTTGAAGAGGTAGCCCTCCATCACCACACCGCTGGGCGCGTCCACATCAAATTCCACTTTGGGCTCATCATAGGAGAAGTCCTGGGGGTGGTTGGAGCCCAGCCTCCAGTGAGTGTCCACCCCTGGTTGTGAGGACGCTGCCGCCCTGCCAGGCTCCCCCAGAGCCAACGCTGAGGTGGGGCGCTGCTCTCCACAGCCTCTTCCTGACCCCCGCAGAGACCGTTGCCCCGAGACCCCACTGGGGGCAGACGCCTCACATTACAGCTGAGGGCCCCAAGAGCTCCATCGCCCACCGCACACCCCCAGCCTTGCAGGGCCAGCAGGCTCTGGGATCAGGAAGGAAGCTGCCCCCCCAACCTTAGTCCCCCATTCACAGTGCCAGCTGGGCCTGCTCCAGCCAGCCTGACAGAGCCCCATTCACAGGGACTGAGGAGACACTGAGTGCCATCCTGTGTGTCCAGCGGTAGGACAGGAGGCCCAGCCACCTGCTCCCCTGGCTGAGCGGGGGCAGAAAGGGACAGCTGCTGCCGTTCCTGTTCCCGCGGGGGAGGCGGTCCAGCTCAGCCCAAGTCCTGCTGGTGCCAGCCACCACCGACAGCAAAGGGCTCACAGGTGCCGGGGAGGCTGAGGCCGGGAGGTGTCCTTGGTGCTGAAGCTCTGAGGCGTGGGGGAGGGCACAGGACCCGCCCTGCCTAGTCCCTTCTCCCCTCACTCCCTCCCCCAGGGTAAACGCCCACTCACCTGCAGCAGCGTCTGAGAGGGCCAGGAGCAGGAGGGGGTGTGAGGAGGGAGAGAGAGCCAGTGAATGACTGCCCACCCCACCACCCCGCCGCCAGGCTCCCAGTGGCTGGAAATAGCCACTCCCACCTGCAGCCCACCTCTACCCTGGGGCTGTCTGGGCAGGAGCCAGCAACTGAGGCCTCCTGAGACCACTACTAGTCTTGAAGGAAGGAAATCCCAGGTCCTAGCTGTAGCCCCAGCCCCAGCATCTGTGAGCTGAGGACGCTGGCCCCTCTGCCCACCCAGGGCTGACCTCTAAGTGACTGTCACAGGGCTGTCCCTCCCGCTCGGCCACGTTGAGGCTCCTAAGGATGGAGACCTCTCCCCCTGTGTGCACATTTCAAAGAGAAGCAGCATCAGCCCCTGCAGAGTGGGCAGGCCTAGAGAGGGAATAAGGGGGTAGTGGTCTCTTGGGGGCCCCCGAAGGTGCAGGGAGGTCGGGAGCTGCAGGGCCTCACCCGCTGCTGTATGGCAGCGTGCTTCCGCTCCATGTCCCGTTTTTCCACCGCTGAGTCGATCACCAGCTGGTCTAGCTGTGGGGGAGGGGCGTCAGGGAGGGAGGTGACCACTCACCCGCTGAGACGGGTCCTGGGCCCCGCCCCCGCCCGCAGGCTCACCTCGGCGGCCAACTTCTTCATGTAGGGGTCCAGCTGGTGCAGCAGGGTGTACCCTTGCTGGAAGAAGCCGTACTGGGCATGCATGAAGGACAGCATCTGGAGGCGGGTGTGGCACAGGGGACGCCAGGCCCTCAGCAGCAGTGACCGGAGGACCCACCAGGTGTACTCACATCCCGCACAAGCCTGTACTCAAGGCCAGTGCCCCCACCCCACCCCCTCACCAATCACTCACAGAATCCAAGATTTCAAACTTCTTCTTGGCCTGGAGGACGTTGATCTGCCAGGGGACGGGTGAACAGGTGAAGGGTGTTGGGGCTGAGGTAGCCCATGGCCTGTCCCTTACCACAGAGTCCTCTCGGGCTGTTTGTGGTCCCCTGAGACCCCCAGCTCATCTTCGGCCCCCTGCACCTGTGCCAGCCTCACCCGCCGCCCATGGTCACGGAGTCCTTCCCCACGTCAGGACTTTGGGTTCCTCCCATGAGCAACGACAGAAATTCTCACACCTGCTCCTAGGCCCCCCAGGCCCCCCTCAGCCCACCCCCCTGTGGCCTACAGCCTCACGTTTGTCCCCAGCCCACCTCCACTGCTGTGCCTTTGCCTGGGCAACCCCCCCCCCCCGCCATGTTCCTTCCCGAGATCTGGCATCTGAGGTTTTCTGGAACCAGAGGGGCCCTCCCTCTGAAGGCCAGCTCAGTCTGCAGGAACTAGGAGCAGCTTCCCACCCCCTCCAGGCCTGACCACTCCTTGCCCAGTGGCTGACCTGGAGCACATAATCCAGTGCCAGGTGACGGAAGCACTTCCGGGTGAGGGTCAGGGCACCTGTGGCCTCCTCCACCTCATGAGGACGGTGCCGTGGGGCCTGGGCATTCCTCACGAGGGACAGCTCCATGTCCTCCCGAACTTTGTCAAACTGCTTCTTGGTCTCCTTGAACTTCCGCACGTCCCTGGGGGCCAGCAGGTGTCAGGTCGGGGTCTTGGGAAGTCTCCGCCTTCGTGAGCTGCCCTCCCTTCCCTAAGGCCCTGTCCCAGCCCCCCCAGCCCCCAGCCCAGCTCTCCTTTTCCACCTCCTCCTCCCCCCTCCCCTCCTCTTCCTCATCCCCCCTGCCTCTTTCCCCCCTGCCTCTTCTTCCTCCTTGTTCCCCCCTCCTTTCCTCCCCCTCTTCCTTCTCCCCCTGCCCCTCCTTTTCTTCCTCCTGCTTCTCCCTCCTCCGCCTCTTCTTCCTCCTTGTTCCCCCCTCCTTTCCTCCCCCTCTTCCTTCTCCCCACGCCCCTACTTTTCTTCCTCCTCCGTTTCCTTCTCCCTCCCCTTTTTCCCTTCCTCCTCCTCCCCCTCTCCCCCCTCCCTTTTCCACCACTCCCCCTTCCCCCTGCCCTTTACCGCCTCATTCCCAGGATCAGTCCAGCCCAGGGAGACCCCCTGCCTCACCCTGGACCCCAGACTCAGATTCAACCCAGCACCACTCAGGGGTGAGTGCCACAAACACCCCAGCTACACATGAGCTCAGACCTCCCCCCAGCCCCCACCCTTCCCTCCGCCACCCTAAATTCTTCTACAGCCCCCCCAACCCTCACCCTTTGCCTGAGGCCCTGCTGGCTACCCTGTGTGCTCCCTGACCCCACACCCTGCCCTCCAGGCACTGTTTCCTTGACCCCAGCCTCATCGCACCTCGCACCTCCAAGCCTTTGTTCCTGCTAAGTCCTCCACCCAGAGTCTTGAGGCCTTTGGCCAAGGCCTCTCCTTCGCAGGCCCCAGGATGCCCCCCAATCAAGCACAGCTGTGTCTGCCCCCCCACTCCACCACAGGTGTCACCACCAACCCCTCCCAGGGACCCCAGAGGCCAGGCCTCCCTCGGGGGTCTGAGGACCACTCACTCTTTGACAAAACTGTGGAGCTGCTGCCGCACAGACCTCTGGGCCTGGTCGAACAGGATCTGGGGGCCGAGGGAGGGAGGTGGTGTTAGGGTCTATTCCTCTGCAGCTCTAGGGGCCAAGCCCCTGTCCCTCCAAGTAAGGTCCAGGGAAAGCCCCACCCAGCCCTGCCTGGGCCCCAGCTGGTTGCCCCCACAGAGCCAGCCTCACAGGGTCTAGGGGCATGGGTGTGGCCCCAGGCCTGGGTTGGTGCCTGGAGGCCACAACTGTGACCACCTGCCCTCTCCCCTACCTGGCTCTCAGCCAGACGAGAGACCAGAGCTCTCCCAGATGGGCCCCTCTCCTACGGCACCACCCCATGCCGACTCACACAGGCTACTGGGTGACACCCACCGCCTCCCAACCCTGGAGGCCACCTTAAGCATGGCCAGGCCTACAGTAGAAAGATCGGGTCAGAGCCCAGAGCTCCCAAGGGACTTGACCTAGGGGACAGGGGAGGGTGGTTTTCAGGAGCTGGAAGGGCCTCCCTACAGCGCTGATTGGGCCCAGAATCAGATGCCCCCATCAAAGGAGGAGGGCTGGGCCCTAACTAGGAACAGATAGACAGACAGACAGACAGACAGGGCAGAATGAGCTATACTGAGCTGGTTTATTTCTAAACTTCCCCTGCAGGGGTGGGGCTCCTTGTTTAGTCTGGGGCTCTAGTTCCCAAGCCAGGGTCTGACCACCCACATGCGCCTTGGGCCCTATCCTGTGTGTCTATGCTAGGGGCTCTGAGGGGCTCAAGGTCACCCAGATCCAGCCTGGGTAGCAGTGAGGCTGGCAGTCATCCAGGGGCCCAGGGGTCAGCCTGGAGATGCTCCTACTGCCTGGCCCGATACCTCTGCTTAACTGGGGGGCCCTGCATGGGCTCTGAGGTATCCCCCATCCTGAGACCCCAGTGCCCTCAGACCTGGGCCATGTTGCTCCCTCCTCCCACCCCCAGAATCCAAGTACCTCCCCACTGTCTGGCCCCCACCTGGGACACAGCAGAGCACCTCAGTGACATCCCCCCACCCCCACAGACCAGAGGAATAGGAACGTGGCTTCCCAGCAGTGGCCAGCTCAGCTCCCTCAGAGCCAGCTGAGAGCACTTCCAGGCTGGGCGGGGCCTAAGGGGAGCCAGTGGGGGGGGCTGCCTGCGATGGGAAGCCAGAGGGATGTGCCCTGGGTCAGGCCCCCACACATCACTCCACTGTGGCCAGGGCTTACCATGTGGTAGTTGACCATCTCCTGCAGGCTGTCTCCAAACCTCTGCAGACATTCCTAGGGGGAGACATGGTAGGGAAGACCCCTTGCTCAGATGAGACAGCTGTGTTCCCAGGGTGGCTGCCACCTCCTCGTCCACAAGGTCTCAGAACCACCCGCCCCTGCAGCCCAGCACAGATGCCCGCCTGTGCCCACCCCTGTCTAGAGGTCCGAGCTCAGTGCCCCCTCACCGAGATGACGGTGTCGCCCTGGCACTGCTGGGACAGGTCTCGAACACCACTCACGAAGAGTCTGTTGGTGGTGACATAGGCCTTGCCAGCCTCGATCATGCCACTGCACAGTTTGACCAGCTACGGATGACAGAAGGAGCAACATTCGTGCTGCCTCCAAGTGGCAGCCCTCACCTCCAAGAGACCAGGCCACAGAGGTGGGAACCGCCCAGAGGCAGCCAGAATTCAGCTTGGGGCCCATCTGTGCCCAGGACACAGCTGTCCCTGAGGAGCCAGCCCACTCTTTGAAACCCACCTGACCCATAGCAAGGTGCTGTGAGGGGCTTGGCTCCAGAGCAGAAGGCTGGAGCAGGACAGGGAAGCCCAGAGCGGGGGAACCAAGCGTGGGAGTGGGCATGTGGTCTTGGCCAAGGGCTGGCAGGACCGGCCAGCAAAGGCGCTCGGGGATGCTGCCCCTCCTTTCTCCCTCTTCTCCTCCCCGGCCCCTTCCCTTGGGCCCCCAACCCAGTCCCCAGGAAGCACCTTGGCACCCCCTGGCCCCACCAAGGCCAACCCCCACTTCATGGGAGACTCACATGTGCAAGCAGCATGTGCACCCCGGGACAGGTATGGTAGGCCACAGCCGGGAGAACGAGGGACAGCCCCAGGTCCTGTGCACCGCACACAGAGGTGGCATGCCCTGCGCACACGCGCACACACGCACACTCTCGCACACACGCGTGCCTGTGCGTGAACCCAGTCAGGGCCAGGCATGGGGGCGGAGAGGCAGCCCTGGACCCTCCAGGCACCCCGGGCCCCGCCTTCACCTTGTCTAGTTTTGCCTCGATCTCCACCACGTCAGTTTCCACCTCATCAATAGTAGCCCTGCAACGGGAACGAAGGTGGCTGCAGACCAACCCCCCTCAAGCCACAGGGCCCAAGGGTCAGGTCAGGCTGGGGCTTCATCGCCCCGTGCTCCTCCCCTCCCTATGAGGATGTGCAGTGGGTCCGGCTACCTGCTCTGGTCAGCCCCCCTGCTGTCCCGTGCTCCTCAGACATGGAGGAAACGGAAGCTGGGAAAGGCAGATGCCCCCCTGGGCAGAGGGTGAGGGACTGGGACCCAGGTCCCGCTGACTCCACAGCCACCCAGCACCCAGCACCAGCCCAGGCAGGAAGAGGCCCAGTCAGCTGTGATGTTCCCATCTGGGGTCTGGCTGCTGTGGGCCCAGGGGCAGGAGGTCAGACAAGCCCCCCTGAGGATAGAGGGAGGGGCCGCAACTTCCTGGCCACTCTCCTGGCTGGGCCATTGCGCTTCTCCGGGGCTGAGTTGACCCCAGACCCCACCTTGGGCCCGTGGACCCCGGGGCAGACCAGTCTCAGGGCCCATAAGCATGGGCCTACTGCTTTCTCTGGTCTGGCAGCAGCGTGAGACCCCAGACTAACTGTGGAGGGGTGCCCCCTGGCACCTCCAACCTCAGAATGCCAAGCAGCACAGTTTGCCCAAAGGGAGTGGTGGGACAAGCTTCAGAGGCGCCCACTCCCACCACAACAGCCCGACAGTGGGGCTGCCTCAGGGAGCTAAGAGTTAAGGAATGACATCACCAGAGAGGCCACAGACGGGAGAATCCCCGGAAGGCGAGGCAGATGGATCGGGCACGTGACCCCCCTCCCTTGTTCTGGGAACAGGAAATAGGGAAAGAGGGCCAGGATCCCAGCGCCACCCCCCACCCCCCACCCGCTCAGCTGGCCTCCTGGGGATGAAGGACAGCTGGGCACGAGGGCCAGGGCTGAGAACAGGGGCCCAGGGGCAGGTCTTCGGTGGGGGGGGGGGCAGAGGGAGGGCCATCCAGGTATAGGGGCCCCTCGCTGCCCCCATGGCCCGCAGGGGGGCGCTGTGTTCCAGGGTTTCCCAGGCCTGCGCTCAGGGACCTGGTCCCTCACAAGAGATGTATAGTTCTGCGTGCCCACAACTGGGAGCTGTAGGGAGGGCACCAGGCCACCCCAACCAGGGACTTTGGAAGCTTCCCACCACGCTCTCTGGCAGGACATGGGCTCCTTCCTGGGCAGCGCCTATCCCTTCCAGTAGAACTAAGGGAACCTGAGTTCCAGACAAGGGACAGACCACCCACCCAGGAGTAGAGGCAGCCCTGAGCAGCTGCTGCGCTTGGGCAAGGAGGGGGTCCCCCCGCAAGGGTGGGGCCGCCGCACCAGATGCTGATGAATGTGCTCGCGGGGCCAAGGTGGGTGCTCTGCAGAGAGCAAAGAACCAGCACCCTGTCCTGGGAGCCTCAGCCTCCAAGGACCTAAGGCCTTCTCTCCTGCCCTCCCGCCAGGATTTCTTCAGCAGCTTGGATGACAAGGAGGAGGGTGAGGCCGGCTTCCCCACCAAAGCCATGACTCAGCGCCTGAAGCCCCACCCAGGGGAGGGGGCACCAAGAACAAGGGGGCAGCACCTCCAGGCCTGTCTGGAAGAGTCTGGACTCTCCCACATGCCTCCCAAGGCTGTGGGACTCTCCCCAGGCCAAGAGCATGTAGGCATGGTCCCTGTTCCCAGGGCTGGGGCCACCTGGCCCCACATCACTGACTACAGCCTCCCAACCAGCCCCACTCTGGCTCAACTTAGGCCAGCCACCAGGAAGTCCCAGGTCACATTTCAGTAGCAGGGTGAGGGGACAGTGGGACCCCAGGAGAACCTCAAACCCCTGTTAAATCTCAGCCCAACCCCGAAACCCACACAGTGTGGCTTCTGTGGCCCAAGGTTCAGATGAATCTCCTCAGCCCCCTCCCCAGGCCCAGAAGGGCACTTTCCTGGGGTGGCCCATCCCTGCCAGAGGAAGCATGGCGAAACCCAGGCAGCCACTGCACCCACTGTGGGCCACAGACAGACCAGGCTAGAACAGGAGGAAAGGCCTGGAGGTGAGTGGGGTGCCATCCCCCAATCCAACCAGGCAAGTTGGGCCTGGACCCCTCCACTCAGGGGAAGAAGGACCAACCATGGGGCTTCTGAGCAAGGGGTCAGGGTGAGACTATGGTACCTCAGTCAGGACCAAGGCCCCAGCTGAGGCCCCAGCTACATCTTTCCCCACAGCCTGGGTCCTGGAGGACAGTGGGCAGTGGTGGGGGCCCAGGATTGTGGGTGCCTGAGTTGCTCACACCCCCTCCCTCAATCAGTCAGGAACAGCAGCTGGGAGAAGGCAGAGAATTACCCACAAACCCTCTGCCCTGGGGCCCCTCCCTGGGCCAACGCTTGACCCCTCATCCCTAGTCTCCCCAAGCCTCTGCTGCTGACACCCTTGTGTGACGGTTGTGCAAGGGGCCCAGGGGTAAGGGCACCAATGCCGAGGCTCACCAGTGCATCCACACGCAGGTCCTCCTGCTGGCACACCCAAGACTCAGCAGGCACACACACGCATGACCAAACACACATGTGCTCATGTGCAAGCAAATGTACCTGCATGTAGTGACACAGTGTACACACAGACATGTGCACTCACGGATAGGACATGCACACAGGCCTACAGACACGTATGCCTGGTGTGGGAATATACGTGAGCAAACTAACATGGATGTTTAGTGCTAAAGCTCCTATGTGCATGATAAACACGCAGTACAAGTATGCACCCACAAGAGGGGTTAGGAAGTGACACGCACACATGCACACATCAAGCACGCCAGCCCAGGGGTGCAGCCCACCCACACATTCAGGGTCTGGCCCCTCCAGGGAGGGTCCAGAGGAGCAGAGCTCACACGTAGGCACCTGCCACACAAGGTGCTCCGTGGTGCACATGGATGAGCAAGCCTGCACTCCCACGAAGGACTAAAAAGACCAACCCAGGGCTGGGCACAGTGCACAACCCCTACCCGGAATTCCCACCCAGCCTTGCTCAGCCTAGACCCCACCCTCAAGGCCCCTAGGTCACCCCTGACAAGCAGCCGGCCCCAGGCTGAAAACGTGGCTCCGGTTGCCTGACCCCCATGCACTGCTCTGGTCACGCGGATGAAGACATATCCCTGGGACAGACACCACTCGCACCCAGACCACCCTGGCCAGAGCTGGACTGCAGGGCCAGGAGGGTCTCAGCCCTGTGCAGGTGGCCAGCACGAAGGTGCAGACACAAAGCGGGGGGTGGACACTCCCACGGAGAGGTGTCTATACTGGCGGCCACCCCACCCCCACGCGCACAACCTCCGCGCGAAGTGACCAGCAGAAGGGGCATCTTTTGTTCAAGGCCTTTGGGCCCCGGGCTGCGGGCTTTGTCCGAGGCGGGGTCCTCCAGCTCCCATCACCGGCTCCCGCGCCCGTCACAAAGGCGGCAACGACAACCCCCCTCTGCGCCCACCCACGGCGGCCCCGGGTGCCCGGAGGGGGCGGCGACCCCCGACGACCACAAAGGGACGCGCCGCCTCCGGGGGCGCACCTGAAGCGCGGCGAGTCCTTGATGCACTCCTCGAACTCCACAGTCATGGCTGCGGCGGCGCGCGGCACTCACTGGCACGAGGACCGCGGCGCTCCGAGCGGCATGCCCGGCCGGCCCGCTCGTCCGTCAGCCGGCCCGCCCGCGCCGCGCTCGGCGCCCGCCCGCCCCGGATTGAGGCCGCCGCGCCGCCGCCCCGCCCCGCCTGTCACCGCCGGGGAATGTCGCCAAAGTCCGCCGCCCGCGCGCGCCGCCGGCTGTCACGGCCGGGGAGCGTCGCCAATGTTCGCCGCCCGCGCGCGCCTCCCCCTGTCACGGCCGGGGAGCGTCGCCAAACGCCTCTCCCTGAGGCTCAGCCACGCCTGGCTCCGGCCCGGACGCCCCGTCGTCCCAACCTCCAGTTCCCAGGCCACCCCGGCCTGGGAAGGAAGTCGGACCCAGCCACAGTCGGCCTGTCCGCGGGGCGCGGGGAGGCCGCGAGACTGCTCGCTCCAGCGATGCGGCCTTTGCGCAACTCGGCGCATTTGCAAAAACCGCTTGCGCGGAACGTGGGGACGGACCCAGTCCAGAACAGTGGGGCGTGGGTGAGCGGGTTGAGAGCATGGATGAACGAGTGCACGCCCGCGGGAGCCCCTTCCGGGCGCCGCTGTCGGAATCCGGCCCACGGGCTCTTCTGCGACTCGGCAGTTTGCACCCAATCCCTTAGTTCGGCCCCGCCCCCGCTCCCGCCCCTAGCAGCCGTAGGGCGGGTGAATGCCGGACCGCCCAGGCGGGGACCAACGCTAAGGCGCGGGCGCGGGCGCGGGCGCAGCCGGGGGCGTGGCCATACTGCTTTCCCCGCGCGCGCAGGCGTGCGTGCTGGGCACTCGTGCGGCCCCGCTGAGCCAGGCCGCGGTCCGCCGACTCCCGTCATGGGCCCTGCAGCAGGCTCGGTGACGGCGCGCTACCTCGTGTACTTCCAGTACTTGGGCACGGACTTTAAGTACGTCTTCCGGACCTCCCATCCGTGCCCGCAGCCCCGACATGTATCCCGGCGCCCGACGTGGGAGAGGGGCGGGAGCTAAATTTAGGACCCGCACCTCTGGTAGCCAGGCCCAACGCCCGGGGGAGGGAACAGACATGGAGGGCCGCAGAGGGCGGGACAGGGCCCGAACTCGGCCAGCTAACCTGAGCCGGTCTCTGCCCACAGCGGGGTCGCGGCCATCAGAGGCTGCCAGCGCGCCGTCGGGGTCCAGAACTACCTGGAGGTGAGCTCTGCCCGCCAGCCGCCCGGAATGGAAAGAGGGAGACACGAGGGAGGGGCAGATGGGAGCCCCCGCGCCTCTGGGCCCCGGTCTTCGCCCCGCGCTGCCCATCCCGCCCCAGGCAGCTCTGTCCCCCCAGGAGGCTGCAAAGCGGCTGAATTCGGTGGTGCCGGTCAAGTTCACTATCTCCAGCCGCACGGATGCCGGGGTCCACGCCCTGTGCAACGCGGCTCACCTGGACGTCCAGCGCCGCTCAGGCCAGCCCCCCTTCTCCCCAGAGGTCCTGGCAGAAGCTCTCAACGCCCACCTGAAGCACCCGGCCATCCGGTGAGCACCCATCTGCTGTCTCCAGACTGGTCCATGGTGGGTGGAGGCCGTAAGTAGGGAAGGACCCGGTGTCTGGACAAAACTTTTTGGGAGTGATAGAGATACCAAGGTGTCACTTGGGTGGGTGGAGGGATCCTTCTGGTGTGCCTAATCCTGTTCCCACAGGATAGTGCAGGCTTTCCGAGTACCCGGTGACTTCCATGCCCGCCATGCAGCCACATCCAGGACCTACTTGTACCGCCTGGTCACGGGCTGCCACCGGCCTGACCAGCTGTCAGTGTTTGAACGAAACCGATGCTGGGCACTGCGGGCAGGGTGAGTGTGGGTGTGCGTGAGTGGGAGAGGGCTGTCAGACCACCTGGCTGGCTACTCCCTCCTGACCAGTCACCTGGCTCCCTGCAGCTGCTTGGATGTGGATGCCATGCAGGCGGCTGCCCAGCACCTCCTTGGGACACATGACTTCAGTGCCTTCCAGTCAGCTGGCAGCCCAGCCACTGGCTCAGTGCGCACGCTGCGCCGAGCCTCCGTGTCCCCTGACCCAGGCAGCCCCTTTGTCCTCGCCCAGGAGAACAGGTAAGGAAGGGCACCCTGCACACTGGCCAGAGGCTGGGGGAGCTGGATTTAGCGCCTTCCCTGGCAAGGGGTGTGCAGAGGCAGGACACAGCTGGGGTTGGGGGCCCCCTGGGCACCCATCAGCCCTCATAAGGGGGGGTACTGGTTAGCTGAGTGGCATGACCCCAACAGCCATGAGCCTGCAGCTGTGCCCTCCCCCCAGGCTGGGTTCCTGACCTGCCCAGCTCAGCGTCGGTTGCCTAACTGCTGAAAAGGCTTTGCTGAAAGAGAAGCACCAGGCTAGCTGTTCGGGCCCTACCTGGCAGGGGGTTGGTTCCACTGCCCCGGCACTGTCCCTGGGGCCTCTGGCCAGACGTTAGCTGTTGACTTCCAAAACCTTCCCAGTTTGAGCCAGCAATGGAGAGAGGAGGAATTTCTGCATGGTCAGCTGCAGAGCCCCGCCCCTGAGGCTTGGGTCTCTGGTAGATCAACACCGTGCTCACCTCCCTCAGCTGCCCCAGGACCCACACCTTAGCAGCACCTCCACCTGAGAGGGCCCTGTCCCCAGTGCCAAGCCCCCTAGAAGGCTCTGTTGCCCCTCCCACTCAGTGTCCCTCCCCTCAGCTTCACTTGAGGGTAGGGTGGTCAGTGGAAGCCCCTGTGGTAGCAGAGTGGGAACCAGTCTCCCCCAGACCCCTCCCCTTGTCCACCTCCTTGTCTGGGGCCACAGGGTGGACTTAGGGGCTCCTCTGGCCCAGGCATCACAAGTGCCTGTATTTTTAGGTTGCAGTTCTGGAACCTGGAGTTTGAGAGCCAGTCTTTCCTGTACAGACAGGTGGGCTCTGCCCTGGGCCTCCAGGGGGTGGGGGTGGCCCCCAGGGGTTGGGCCCCTATGGCAGTCTTGGCTTTGGGTTGCAGGTGCGGAGAATGACATCTGTGCTGGTGGCTGTGGGGCTGGGGGCTTTGATGCCTGCTCAGGTTAAGGTGATCCTGGAAAGCCGGGACCCCCTGGGCAGGCACCAGGCACGTGTGGCCCCAGCCCATGGCTTATTCCTCAAGTCAGTGCTATACGGGAGCCTCGGTAAGAGTTCGCTGCCTGGAAAGGTGCCTGCATGCATCCCACTGATTGATCCCTCCTCCTAAGGCGGGGTGCTTGATGGAGGAGGGGCTCTTGGTGACAGCACAGCTGCAGCTCTCATGTGTCCTGCTAGCAGGTGGGAGTCCAGCCTCTGTTCAGCAGGAAGGCAAGGAAACCTCAGGTTGGCCAAAAAATCTCCAGCTGGAGACCAGCAGCCCAAAACCAGGAGGCCTGGAGTAAGGTACCTCTTCCCCTGGATCCCTAGACCTAAACCGTACTCCTGACCTGGGCCCTAGGATCATGTTCCTAGTAGAGCAGGGAGATTGAGGGGGCTCCTCTAGGAAGTAGGGAGCAGCTTGAAAGGCAGGGGCTCTGCAGCGCAGATGAAGCTGTGGACCTAAGGCCAGGCCCAGCCTCTGTAGAAAACCTCCTGTGTCCTGCAGGGTTTACTGCACAGAAGCCACAGATAACCCCCAGATGCCCAGCTGAGGTCAGGGCGGCCATGACACGCAGCCCTGCCGCCGGACCGCGCCCAGCTCTGCACGCCATGCAGGCCTCCTGCCTCCCACCACCCCGGTCTGCCACCGGTGAACTGCAGGAAAAGGGTTTGCGCGTCGAGAAGGGAACAGCCATACAGCCTTTGGTGCAGTTTTTACTGGAAATTAATACCTCAGGAGCACCCACCCCTCCCTTGGGCTCAGGAACAGAAATAAAGGGTGATCAAGTCCCCAGGCCTGTCTCTTTCCTCAGCCAAACAGGCACATGGCACTGTGGTCCTGTCCTCACAGACGAGGGCTGTGAGCAGCCGGGGGCTACTCATCAGGGGACAGAGGGAAGAGCTGAGGCACAGACATGGCCCTGGACGAAAGCCTAGGTCCCTTTGGTGACCAGCTGACCTCAGCTGGGGGCCTGGGGGAGGCCCTTCTTGAGCAGCGACGTGAGGTAACTTCCCAGCTCTTCATCCTAGAGGCAGATACAAAAGGAGGCAGTCATTGCACCTTCCCCGACCACCACACCTGGGCAGCCCCCGCCTATCCCGACCTCCGGGGGCAGGGCTCCCTGGGACCCACCACTCACCTGGTAGGTCCAGGAGACCAGCAGCACCTTGGTGCCTGGGTCCTCTGAGTGGGCAGCAGCCTGGATGAGGATGGACTCCACGGTCACAGACCCATCAGGAAGGTGCTGCACGCAGTGGTCCTTGAGGACGCTGCGGGGAGGCACAGTGAGACCCCACCTTGTGCCCCACTTCTTACCACCCCCAGAGCCAGGAGTGGGGGCACCCACCTCTTCAGGTGGCTGTAGACCCGCATGGCCGTCTCCTGCTCCTTGCGAGGGTCATGGAGATGCACACGGCAGGTAAAGCGCAGCTGGTGCTCAGCCAGGCCCAGCTCCTTAAGGGCCTGCTCTGAGGACACGAGCCGGAAGTTCTGTGGGGCAGGGGCAGGGGCAGGTCAGGGGGCATCGGGGCACCCCTCACCCCCGCCCAGGCACATGCACACTCACACTGTCCTTCATGATCAGAGTGCCATGCAGGAGCCGGGGCTTTTTGGCGTCAGGAAGCAGCCCTGTGGAGAAAGGGGCAGGGATGGGAGCGGCCCACCTGCTGCGCCACTGCCTTCCCCTGCCCAGTGTGCCCTGCCTTGCATACCCTGTGCCATCTCCCGCTTTAGCAGCCCCAGCGAGATGCCCACGGGGATGCTGGGGCTTGTGGGCAGCGTCACCGTCTCACCGTTGGCTGGCATGTAGCAGTTGACCCCTGGGCAAGAGTGGGAGGGGCAGAGAGCCTCAGTCCAGGCCATCGGGCCCTGCGCGTGCTGACCCCATAGGTAGACCCTGCCCACATTCCCTGTATCGGCCAAGCCCACCCCATGCCTGGGCTGCTTACGGAATTCCTGCTCAATCTTCTGCTTCAGGAACTCCATCTTCTTGGCTTCCCCATGTACGAGCAGCACACTCTCGGGCTCTGCCTGGCCCACCAGCTGCATGATGCCCTTGGCGTCGGCATGGGCGCTGAAGGACATGTACTCCACCTGCATCTTGACCTCCAACTGCAGCATCACAGTGCACACAGGCCGTTACCACGAGCAGCAGGCTCCAAGGGCTCCCCACCAACCCAAAAGGGGGCCCATAGAGCTGCTGGGGAAGCAGAGACTCACCACCTGCCGCCCCTCCATCTCCAGCTTGCGCTGCCCACTGAGGATCTTGTGGCCCACAGTGCCCTGCACACAGTAGCCAGGCATGATGACCTGTGGGGGAGGGAGGATGGAGCTGGCAGCCACCCTGCAACACCGCCCCCCCCAAGTCCGGCCTCAGGGGGGCTTCCTCCCTGTATGTCTCTCCACCCTGCCCTTCCTGCCTGTCAGAACCTATACCCTGAACAGCCCCTTTCCTTTGCCAGCAGCTCCCTATCCCAGGTCCCACTACAGACCCAAGCAGGCTCAGGGGTCTCGGCACAAGCCCACCCAGGCCTGAGTACCACATCAGCTCAGGAGGCTAGAAGACTTCACTGCCTGATGCAACAGGCTGACACACAGCAAGAGTCTGAGCTGCCTGGGTGAGACACCAGGCCCCAGGATACTAAGCCCTGTCCTGACAAACAGCAGTGTCCCCAAGCCAAGCAGAGCCCCTGTTCCCCAGCCTCTGCCCAACCTCACAGGCCCTCTTGGGAGCTAGACCTCTTACCATGTTCTTCTCATTCCCTGCCCACTTCCGGAAGATCTGCAGGGACTGGCCAGCATGCAGCATGCCTGGGGTGGCAAACACGACCTGCGGGGGTGGGGTGGGGGTAGGGACGGCACAGCACCCGTCTGTCAGGGAACCAATATTGGCCATGGGTCCAGCCCCTCCTCTGCCCTCAGAGCCTTCTGACCCTGCACCTGCCACAGGCTCTACCTTCTACCTCCCCTCGTCTTACCCCCAGCACAGTGCACCCCACTCCCTGAGGGAGACTTGCAGGCAAGGTCGCCTCGCATGTCCCAGACATGGAGGAGGTGCACATGTGTGGACAGTCAGCACTGGTCCCAGATGCCCCAGCATGGGGCAGGCATGACCTGGCTTCAACAGGCACAGGATAGCCATCCCCAGCCCCTCCTGGCCAGGGCCTCACCATTGGACCCGGGTTGTCAGCAAATGCCCGGTCGAAGGCTTTGATGTGCTTAAACTCAAACATATTCCTCTGCACAAAGGTCTTACGGATCTTCTGGTTGGTCCAGGTTATGAAGAGCTTGTAGTAGTGGTTGGCCTTCTCTGTCAGGCCCGTGGAGAAGTAAATGGGGGCCTTTAGGTTCATGCGCTCCCTGTGGACAGTGCAGGGACCACAGTGGAGAAGGCTGCCAGGGAAGGAGCGGCCCATGTCACCCCTTACACCCTCAGCCTGGGTTGTGTCCGGTGGGAGGAACAATGTCTCCCTCATGTCTCCCACCTCAGCCTACTTCCTTCTATAAAACGTTGGTTCTGATGAAGGGACACAGAGCATGGTTGGGGGGGCGGTATGGAACAGCATGACACAGGCCTCCTGGCTTGGGCGGGCACCCCCACAGAGATCAACCACCCTGACTATACCTGACAGCTGCCAGTGCTACAGCCGATGCTCTGCCTAGAGCTGGACTGAGGACCCGGACACTGGCATCCCACTAATGCCCACTCAGGCCACGGTTCCCAAAAACCAATCAGGCTGCACCTACCAGAATGTCTCCAGCAGGATGCAGAGTTCCTGAGCTCGGCCCAGCGCAAACACAGGGATCAGCACCTGCAGGGGGACGACAAGGCTGGCTCAGGCAGGAGTCCCTGGCCATGCTGCCTACCCAAGTTGAGCCCACATCTGACCATAATGGGCTCCCTGGTAGCTCTGAGGGTCAGAGGCTGCGTCCACTGAGAGGTCATAGCCGGCATCCCTGAGAGCCAGAGGCCCTTTGTGAGCTACAGGTAAGGTCCCCACACTGCCCGCAGGTCCTGCTCCCAGCCAGTCTGTCCCAGAATGACCATGGTGGATACTCTGGCCAGCCCTGGTCTGGGATCTGAGGTGAGGGGTGAATAAACACCCCGCTAGTCTTCGGAGAAGTTTTTCTTCCTAATGCTGAGCAAATCTTCCTCCCTGCATGCCCAGAACACACAGCACCCATCTCCTGACATGCCAGAGGTTGAAGGACTGTGTAGCATGGTCAGGGTGGGCACATGGCCCAGAGCCCTGCCTGGCACCCTGCCTGCACCAGTTACCTTCCCGCCATGTTCCACGGCCTCGTGGACCTTCTTCAGAAAGTCTCGCTCCCGGCAGCGTTTGGAGTCCCGGATGGTTGTGGCGTATGTAGATTCTGTGATGAGCAGGTTGGGGCGGCATTTGTCAATCCAGGCAGCTCTATAACAGAGGTGGGCGTGACCGGAGATGGACAATCCACATGGCTGCAAGGCTAGGAGCAACACAACGGACCCCAGCCACAGCTTCCCTGGACCCTCTGTCAAGCAGCACACTAGGGGAAACAGTAGGAAGAGACTCTGCCGTGCACAGAGGACACGTGGCAGAAAGCAGTGCACAGACTGCTCAGGCACCCAGCACATCCACGAGCATCAGTGCACTCCTGGGGGTCCCCAGAGGATGAAACAAACACATCAGCCTACTCACCCCAAATGCCGGTCCGGGGTCATATTATAATCACCCTGGCAAAGAATGTGGCAGTAAAATGGGTGCCTCCTCTCCCCGGCCAAGCAGTACCCCTGTGCCCCAAGTCTTTCCACTGACCGTGTAGACCACAGACTCTGAGCCCACTTTAATCTGGAACATGGCTGCCCCCAGCACGTGGCCTGCATAGTAGGCCTTGATTTCAAGTTCATCGTCCACCTACAGAGGAGAGGGCTCAAGTCAGGTCTTCAGGCTATGCTGGGTAGGTGGTCAGTTAGAGGATGGCAGAGGGACCAGGGAGGTGGACACTTGGGAGGCAGAGGGCAGAAAAGAAGAACATGGTTCCAAGCCTTTCATCATTTCCCGTTTCTCACACACAATGTCCAGTTCTCAACCAAAAGCAACCAGACATAAGCGATGAGACAACACCATGAAAAACAAGAGAAACAA